CAATCCCAGCACTTTGGGAGGCTGAGGTGGATGAATCACCTGAGGTCAGGAGTTCAAGACCAGCCTGGCCAACATGGTGAAACCCCATCTCTACCAAAAATACAAAAATTAGCTGAGAAGGGAACTCAGCAATGTCCACCTTGCTGATGGGATGTACCTTGGTTCAGTCTGGAAAGGCGAGACAACTCAAAGTGGGGAGGGGACTCCCCGTCATAGGTAGATAAGAGACAAACCGTTGCATGCCTTCGAGTTTCTGACTAGCCTTTCACTGAATAGACAATTTACAGTAATAGTCACTTATGCCTAGTCTGGCTTAGTGAAACGACAGAGAAGAGCAATCAATCAGATATACATTTGTCTCACATGAGCAGAGGGCTGATTCTGATTTCTGTCTTTCCTTTGTCCACAAGGGATTTTCTTGCTGGCAAATTGTGAAGGAGAGAGGTATATAGCTTTAAATAAATCTTTGTAGCTATCTTATTTAGGAACAGAATGGAAGGTGGGCTTGCTCAATGCAGTTCCCAACTTGACTCTTCCCTTTGGCTCAGTAATTTTGGGGTCCCAGGATTTTTTTTTTTTATATGGAGTCTCACTCTGTTGTCCAGGCTGAAGTGCAGTGGTGTAATCTGTGCTCACTGCAACACCTGTTCCCAGGTTCAAGGGCCTCTCCTTCCTCAGCCTCCTTCATAGCTGAGAATACAGGTGCAAGCCACCACGCCTGGCTAATTTTTGTAATTTTAGTAGAGATAGGGGTTTCACTATGTTGGCCAGGCTAGTCTTGAATTCCTGACCTCAAGTGATCTGCCCACGTCGGCCTCCCAGAGTGCTGGAATTACAGGTGTGATTCTGCGCTTGACTCCAAGATTTATTTTCCTTTCACAATAAGAACCCCATGTTATAGGGTGAAGATTAAATATAGATTGTACATAAGAATTTAGAAATTCAATTGACAGTTTATGTAAGCTAAAACCCATTTTTGTATCTAATTTTAGTCCTATCTATATTCAGGTGCTGGCATAGCCAGGTAAAAGATGAACGGTTTTATGATAATTAAGAATGCTTCTGTCTAGGTGAAGTTTAAAAAAAAATCCTCTGCAGTCCCTGAAACAGGTGGCACAAATTCAGCCAATTGATACACTGGTGTCAAGTCTACAGAGACTCGACAGGTGCAGGAAGAAAGAGAGAGTGAGTCCTTCCAGGGCTATTGGTTACAATAAAATGACATTATTTTTTACTATCTTGTACCTGGGGCCAGGATCATATCCCACAGATTCAAAATTCCGCTTATTTAGTACAATCCATATGGGTAATCAACATGGTTGTTGACCTATGTGCTAAGGCCCCTCAACCATCTGAATGGACTTCCGGCCCAGCCAGGGCACTCTTAAAATTCGACCTGAAAAACTGGTTCAGGCCATGAAGACAAGTGGGGGTCTGGGCCATGCCTCGTTATACCTCTCCGAAATTCACATCGACACAGACATTACATCTGAAAAGAGGCATTTACAATCTACTCTCTCCGAAGCCGGCTACCTGAAGGCTTCCTCTACACAGTAAGAACTTTGGTCTTCACAATCCTTTAACCCAGAAATTTCCTTTCTATTGATCCTGGGTCTTTAGATAAACTCAACCGTCAACCAGAATTTTTAAAAATCTACCTATAACCCGGAAGGCCCCCCGCCCCCACCCCGTCCCCAGTTTCAAATTGTTCCATGTTTCTGAACTGAACCAACGTATTTCTTAAATGTATTTGATTGAAGTCTCACGTCTCCCTGAAATATATAAAACCAAGCTGTACCTCCACCACCTTGGACACACGTACTGACGACCTTCTCAGGGCTGTGTCATGGGCCGTGGTCACTCATAGTTGGCTCAGAATAAGTCTCTTCAAATATTTTACAGAGTTTGACTCTTTTTGTCTACAATACTATGAAGGGATTTGGGGGAGGGGAACAGTGAGGCTCATCTTTGCGGCAAGGATCTTCTGGGGAAAACCAGTGGTCACCCCAACAGACTCCAGAGGTAGTAGATCCTTGTTCCAGATGTGGCCCACAGTTTATATGTGAAAGACTCTGACTAGCAGGACACAATGAGCCACCTAATGGATTTGACACGACCACCAAGCCCAAGAGTAATGTATAAAGCTGGAATGTCAATTTGCTGGTGGTATACAGTAGGACTTAGATATTTAGGTTCACTGATCACCACTTCTATCTATGAAGACAAATCCACAGGGAAAGAAGCCCCAAATCACCAAAAGGTTGTTTGGGCCCTAACTTCTAAACAATGGGTTTGTGTTGGACGAGGGGGAGGAAAGCAGGCTAGCACTAGGCTAGCACCAACTTCAAACATCAGGTTCTCTCCTACAGAGGTAAAGAGCCCTCGTTAGTCCTACCCCATCCTCAGGTATATTTATATTAGTTTCCAAGGATCGCTTTATAGTTTCTGAGGAAGTACAAAAACTGAGTGGCTTCAAACAACAGACATTTATTACCTGACAGTTCTGGAAGTGAGAAGTCCCAAATCAAGGTGTAGGCAGAGTAATGCTTTTTCTGAAACCTACAGGGGAGAATCCTTTCTTGTCTCTTCTAGCTTCGGGTGTTCGCTGGCCATCCTTGGAGTTCCCTGGTCTGCAGGTGCTTTCCTCCAATCTCCACCTTTGTCGGCAAGTGGCTGTTTTCTCCTCGTGCATCTCCTCTTCTCGTAAGGACACCAGCTATGCCGGATGATGATCTCATAACTAAACTAACCTGCAGCAAACCTATTTCCAAAAAAGGCCATTAACGTCATTTTTTTTTTTTTTTTTTTTTTTTTTTTTTTTTTTTTGAGTCTGAGTTTCTCTCTGTCACCCAGGCTGGAGGACAGTGGCTCAATCTCTACTCACTGCAACCTCTGTGCCACCTCCCCTGACCTCTCCACCTCAGGTTCCAGCGATTCTCCCACCTCCGCATCCCAGTAGCTGGGATTACAGGCACATGCCACCACACCCAGCTAATTTTGGTGTTTTTAGAAGAGACGGAGTTTCACCACGTTGCCCAGGCTGTGTTGAATTCCTGGCCTCAAGCGATCCACCCATCTGAGACTCCGAAAGTGCTGGGATTGTAGGCATGAGCCACCACACCCAGTCCAAATAGTCATATTCTGAAGCACTGGAAGTTAGGGCTTCAACATGTCTTTGAGGGACACACATTGCAACCCATAACAGTATTCTTGGAACTTTAAATTGCATCAGTTTTTGTACTAGAAAAGCACTGCTCCTTTAGGCACTATGTATTCCTCTAATCTTGTAACTCTTTTATGACTTTAAGAAATACAGAATTTGGTCGGTTTTAGGTGAAAAAGTAAACTTTGATGACTTGCATCAAACAGGAACTGAGGCACGACTCCTGGAATTTCCGGTAAGAGAACATGAGTAGGAATACAGTCACTGACTAAAGATCATTTTTCAAGAAACACACCAACAAACTTTGAGGGATACATGATTGAAAAACTAGCCCTTATGATCTTTTTGTTTTTAAACAGGTGTATCTTTACACAGTTAAATTTTAGTTAAATTTTACTACTTTTTTTTTTTTTTTGCAGATAAAAACTCAGGAGTTGAGAAATGAATAAATATAATATGAGAAAAAACCATCATGATTTATCAAGCCTGGATAAATAATTTAATAAGTCCCGCATAGAAGACCATGTTTGTTTTTTTTTTTCTTTCCTCTTTTTCTTTTTCTTATATCTTTCAATAGGTTTTTGTGGAACAGGTCGTGTTTGGTTACATGAATAAGTTCATTAGCGGTGATTTCTGAGATTTTGGTGCACCCATCACCCGAGCGGTGGACACTGCACCCAATGTGTAGTCTTTTATCCCTCACCCCCTCCCACCCTAGCCATTATCATCTTAAGATTTTTGGCTATTCAGGGCCATCTCATTCCCCCCTCCCTTCTTTGTTGCATTCTCTCTCGCCTACTCCATTCCTCCCACCTTCAAAGTGAGACTACCGTTGGTAAGAATGTTATACGCATTATGATACTTTTCAAATCTTCAAAATTGAGGTATAATTACATACAGTAAAATGAGAATGGCGTGCAAATTTGTGCCTTTTTTTTTAAAAAGCTTAGTAAACGTCATAATTTGGTTACAATTCTTATTTTTCTAGATACATGTGCTTCTCCTCACATCTACCATGCTCAGCATTACAGAGCTGTCCTTATAGAATTCTCTAAAGTGCTGTATTGTACCCAGGGAGCTTCTCCTGACTGGAAAAGCTGTACCTGGCACCGCTCTGCCTGCAGGACCCAGAGTCTTTGGAACGTTTCCCTAGCCCCTTTGAATACTGCAGCTCTTGTAAAACGAATGTGGTTCCTTTTTCCCCGTTCAGTTATTAATCTAACTAGGTTGTGAGTTTCTCTTCCAAGAAGGAGGTGGGGGCGCGATGCAGCTTGTCTGATTTTGGATTCAAAGTGTGTACTCCCATGCCTACCACATAGTAGGTGCTCAAGACATGTTTCCTGTCAGTAAGTGACAATTAACACCCCAATATGGTACTTCAGAGTTTTCACAGCGCGGTCACAGGATCTCATTTAATGCCTACTACAATCCTAAGAAATTCTAGTGACTACCATCCTAACATTTCTTGTTTATGGAGATCGAGAGGTTAAGTGTCTTGCCCAGGGCCAGTCGACCGCAAAACCGAACTATAATTTCAGGCTCTGGACACCACACAGCGTGTCGAGGTCAGCACGAACTTGCCGCTGCGACTTTCCCTTGGATGGGGCCATTTCGGCTTGCACTTCCGGATCCTGGGCACAAAGACCCAAAAAGACGCCCCGCGGGGAACTGGGGAGCGGGACTACATCTCCCAGAGAGCCCTGGGGCTAAACCGCAGAGGCGTGGTTAACATTGTTAGCCAATGTGGCTGCGAGGAGCTCGTGCAAACCAATCACAGTCTGGAAGGGGCGGGACCTCCCGCGCCAAGACGAGATTGAGCGCAGAACTAACGGCGCTCTGAACGGCCCGTAACCTCTGTGTGGCTTAGAGCCGGATGCAACGTCGTCCTTCTCTCCGGGTCCTGTCTTGGGTCCTTTCTCGTGCTCTACCGCGACTCCGTCTCGGGCCGCGCGTGTCTGGCCGCTAGGCCGGCAGCAAGGACTGGTCGGGTGCCCAGAAAGAAAGCACGTGCTCCAGCAGTTGTCGCGCCGCGTGTTTGCCCGTCAGCCCCGTGCCCAGCCCCGAGAGAGGCCCCAGGGCTCTGGGGGCGTTCGGGGCCCGGAGTCCCCTCGACGCGAGCCAACGGGAGGCCGTCAAACGACCCTGGGCCTTCTGTGGCAGGCCAGCCTGGCGCTGGCTGGCGTGGCTCTTGGCAGTCGTCACCTGTGGATAGCGCGTCTTCCCCGCCGCGCCCTCGGGGCGAGGAGACTCGGCAGCATGTCACCCGCGCTCCAAGACCTGTCGCAACCCTGGTAACGCTGCGACCCCGTCTGCGTGGTTCGGTTGTGTTTCTTGACTCGTGCTGTGGCCTCCTAATCCCTGGGGCGATTCCCTTTCGCAGCGGGAGACGCCCGGCGGGGTTTCCCCGCGTGGGGGCGGCACCTTTAGAACGTAGCACGGGAGTCCCGAGAGCCACGTGTTTTTCTCGGCTTTTTCTCCGACCTTCACCTCTTCCTCACCAGGCAAACCATCAAAACCTGCAAAGCTTCCCCTCCTTGCCCCCGAAACACATTCTTAACGTTATAGTAACTAAACTTTGCAGTTCGATGCGGCATAAACCAGCTGGGCTCTCTGGAAGTGTTGCCTGGTGTCACGTTCTTACTCAGTAAACGTTTATTGGGCACCTTGCTGCCAAAGAAAGTTCAGGCGCGGAGAGACAGACGAGGAAACTCAGAACTATTTAAAACGACTACACGGAACTTTTTATTTTCTGCTTCTTCGCACGCTTCCGCAGACTCCAATATGCACAGAGTAACTATGTTAACATAGATTAACAGGCTCCACCTCCAGATACCGAGATGGAGAGTAGTAATTTCCAGCGATTCAGATGTTGCTGGCCCTGGGATCAGCAATGAGAAAAAGCTAGTTTATAACAAGAAATGAACGTAATGTTAGCTTATAATGAGCTCTGCGTCTGTAAGGTCATGCCGGATTATAATTTGTGGACAAATATACCTATAAAAACGTGTGAGGATATGTAGAAACAAGGATTAGTAACAAGTACGGAACAGTAAATATCCTATGCCAGAGTGGGGATGTTTAGCTTCAGGAAGAGGGGCAATACTAAATCCGTAACGGACAAGGAAATTATCAGAGGTTAACTGATGACTTCCTGATTCTCGGGTTCTGATAACGGGACTGATAGAATTGTTCTGGAAACTAGTGGAACTGTGGCTGAGAAACATCACTGCTGTTATTAAATAAGGGGTAAACCTGCCGTAGGGAGATCATATATTTGTTTGGATAATATCTTTTACTCATGATTTCTGGTCTCCCCCTTCCCATTTAATTTAAACAAGTTATTTCCCTTTCATCGGAATTTAGGTGTCGTTATCAGGAGCAAAATGTCACCGAAGACTTAGAATACTGTGAATAGTGAGTGATTTTTTTTTAAAACAGAATACGAAAGGAAAATTGTTGAATATTTGAATCTAGCTTAATCCCCTCACCCCAACGCTGGTTTCTAGAGTTGAGTACTGAGCAAGTCTTAGGGCCTCTGAAGTTCTGTATCAGGCCTGTGCGCCTGGAAAAGACCGTAAATGTAGTCCAGCTTCTGTCTATGTGAGCAACTTCTATTGGGATTAGAATCAGGTTTTAACTTCCCAATAACCCTTAGTCCCTTACTGGCATACAGTCTTATGAAACTTCAATGAAGAGCTGGAAATTCCTGATTCTCAAGGTTGGGTCTTAAAACTAAATGTGACTTCGTGGTTGTGTGCCCTGGGGAAGGAAGATAGTGAGCTAGCAAATACTTCTTGGGAGAAAATTTTAACTACAGTTTCTAAAGCTTTCTTGGTTTCATCCTTTCTTAGTTATGTAAGTGTTATTTGGAACTCAGTTGGTGAGTGATAAATGAAAGAATGAGTAAGTGATCCAGTGAATTGGTATCAGCCTAATTCTTCCTTGGCTTATTAAAATCAAAGGAGTATTTAATAATAGTTTATCTTATTAAATATTAATTATATATTAAAATAATATATACATGATAATTGTACATAATTTAATATATATTAAAAATGGAATACTGCACAAGTGAAGTGATGCCTGCAGAGGCCGGGTGTGGTGGCTCACACCTGTAATCTCAGCACTTTGGGAGGCTGAGGCAGGCAGGTCAACTGAGGTCAGGAGTTTGAGACCAGCCTTGCCAGCATGGCAAAACCCCATCTCTACTAAAAATACAAAAATTAGCTAGGTGTGGGGGCAGGTGCCTGTAATCCCAGCTATTCAGGAGGCTGAGGCAGGAGAATCGCTTGAACCTGGGAGGCAGAGGTTGCAGTAAGCTGAGATCGTGCTGCTGCACTCCAGCCTTGGCGACGGAGTGAGGTTTCCAAAAAAAAAAAACAAAGTGAAGCAAATCTGTGCAAATTAGAAATTAGAGATTCAAAAATGAAAGAAGTATCTTGCAAGAGACTTGTAGGGCAGTAGTAAGATTGTTTTTAGTAAAGCAAAGAAAGGACACTGCTGAGAAAGCATTGGGATCATTTGATTATAGTACAGAAAATAAAAATGTGCTTTTCTTGCTGTATGTGTTCCCCGTTTAGCACAGTGGAAAGAAGAGTCCTAAATAAGTCAGACCTACCTGGGGTCATTTTCCCTTCAGAGGAGGTGTCTTTTGACACAGCAGTTTGTAACTTAAATGCACTTATTAGCAATTTATTTCTTTAGGCTAGCTCTTAAAGGTGGTACTACCTGACTTATCCCCTCCAAATCTGACTGGGGCCTTAACCACTTAGTCCGTGTTTATTCTTTGGAATACTTGCTGTGAATTGAAATATGGTTAGCTAGAAAATAAGATGTTAACAGCAGGGAAGAACCCCACAAAATATACTGGCTAAATCCACTCAGAGCTGGAGAAAATACTGTGTGATCTCTTAGGCTTACTAGCCAAAAATGTTCCTTGGGACTCCTCTGCACTGCAGATATTTCCATATACTCATATACGTTAAGCATAAAAATATTTCTGAAATAGTGTTATAACTAGTCAGCTAAATGGAGGAACTGCCAAACTATATTCTTACATTTACTGTGAAAGATAATCAGAATCTGCTTTATTTATAACTTAATAGTTAGTAGTTAAATATAGAGAATGTTCTAGACCTACTGAACTGAATACAGATAAATACAATTTTGTTGTTGTTCTTCATGGAAGACCGACATTTCAATAGATCCCCACTCTGCCAAGGGAAAGAATTGCCAAGGTGACTTATTCTTTTGAGAAAGTTCTGATGGTAATGAGAAGCTGGTGAATTAGAATGGTAATTAAAGCCAGTGAAAGATGACCTCCTACTGGAAAAGCTGGAGGAATACAGAAGGCTAAGAATAGTGAACACTTAATACCAACAGACCTTCTGAAGGAAGGCTTCTTAGTTTCTCTGAATGGGAGATCTTCTATTATCCTCTAAAGGAAAAACAAGCAAGTGGATAACGAGGAAGCAATGGATTTTTTTTTTTTTTTTTTTTTGAGACAGTCTCACTCTGTTGCCCAAGCTGAGTGCAGTGGCATGGCCATGGTTCATTGCAGTTTCAACCTCCCAGGCTCAAGCAGTTCTCCTGTCTCAGCCTTCCTGGTAGCTGGGACCCCAGGTGTACACCACCAGGCTTGGCTAATTTTTGTTTTTTTTTTGTAGAGGAGAGGTCACAGTGTGTTGCCCAGGCTGGTTTCGAACTTCTGGACTCAGTGGTCCACCTACTTTGGTCTCCCAAAGTGTTGGGATTACAGGCGTGAACCACCATGCCCAGCCTGAATGAAGTAATGTAATGGATTTTTAAGGGCCTCAGATGCATAGGAGTTTTTTATTCAGTCCACAAAATTCCTGCTCATATGTGTTTTATTATATCTTTTTTATCTGTATTTTCCATCCACAATTCTCTTGTTTCCATAGACTGCCTTTTTCACATATATCCATATATTTATACATTTTGTTGTAAATTCTAGTCTGTAGGTATTTTTAATTCACACCGTACATTACATTCTGGAATGTACAAAGAACTAACACAAATCAATAAGAAAACAAATTAGCTTCAGATATTGAAGAATATTCCCCAACCCATCGTCTATTATTTTTGTCTATGGTAACTTTCATTGAGCAGAAATCTTTGGTTTTTATGTAATCAAATTCATTTTTTTTTTTTTAAATTAAGCGTTTGGACTTTTTGAGTCTTAAGAAATTTTCTTCATTCGAAGTCATAAAGTTCTTCCACATAAATTATACAGTCACTTTTTCAGGCTTCTAAAAAACCAAAGCAGATGTTTTTAAAAAACTTTTGATCTCTTGCTTAATGTGGTGGCTCAACAAACAAGATGATCAGAATTTGCACGTTTGGGGCTGGGTCATTTTATGGTAAATAGTGAACTGTCTTAAAGTCTGGAAACAAAGTTTATTATTTCTGCATTGAAAAGTGAATACAGTAAGGGCCTCATGGAAAAGTAGTAAGACTTTTTATGAAAATGAGAGGAGGAATGGAGGCACCCTCAGTGGTTAGGTTTGCTAAACATGTGCACTCGCTCGGTGGAGGAGATAGGAAGGACATGTAATTAATTTGATATTGATTAATCATTTTGCTGATGCCAAAGGACATACTTCACTGTCTGTGGAAAATATTGTATTTTTTTTTCCCTAGAAAGTTTGAATACCTTTTAAGAGTGAAATTTCACATGCATGTCATATTTCCCTACTGCCACACCTGTACTCATACCAGATATATGATTCAGTTGCCCACTTGAGCTCACATGGTGTCATTTCAGGGAGAATTGCAGCTACATCCTTTTGAGAAGAAAGGAATTCAGTTGGGCATGTAGGTTAGAGTCTTCAGTTCTCTCTCTTCTCATGCCTCATGTGAAATTATCTACATTTAACAGTTTTCACTGCGATTTCCAAAACTGCAAATATGCCATTTCTGCCCCAACATGAACAACTGAGAGCTTTAGGCTTTACATAATTTTTCACAGCCCATTGGACTTAATAATTAATATATAGAATACAGTGTTAACGTCAATCCTACCTGTGCAATAATGCCAACGTAATAAGCGTAGCTAATATTTATCAGTTGTTTACTATATATCAAACACCAGTGTCTCATTTCATGACTTGTGTGACTTAAGAGGTCCAGTTCTTAACACATAGTCTCATTTTAGTATCACAGTTCCAATAATGAAGACAGGGCTGATGTTTCCTCATCTTGCTGAGGCATGGAGGGGACTTGCCTAAAATCCCATAGCTATTAAGGCAAGCTGGGGCTAAAACCCAGATTTCTTGGGTTTTCAGACCCTGCTGCTATTAGCTTAATCCTATCAAGTTCTGAGTGCTTATTGGCTGATAGGACAGTCACGTCATGGGGTGCCTAAAATAAGGCTACATCTGAATTTACCTTGATGACTATAGCTTGAAATGCCCCCCACTGCCTGATACCTACCAGTCTGTCTTTCTTTTTTTTTTTTAAATTGCTTGAGCCCAGGAGGCTGAGGCTGCAGCAAGCCGCCCTACCAGTCTTTCTATTGTACATGCTTCATTAAGCCCTCCCTTTTCTCCACATTTCCCAAGAAGTGATTTTCTTTGGTTCTTGATATACTTCTGGTCAGATCATTGGAACTTAACTTTTTTCCTTTATCAGGAAGTGTTTTATCTCATGTACAAGTTCGGTAAACACAATTAGCCAGTGAGCTGGCTTTGGAAAGAAATAGTACACCCTGAAAGAAACATAGTGCCCTTTGGAAAAGAAACTAGATATTGGATATTGCAAATTTTTCTTTCGGGTTACTAGAGAGCAAACTTCCTGAAGCCCACTTGGAGCAAGTCACTCACAATAGTTCCGTGGCCACCGTTTAGCCCCAGTTCCTATGTTGTGTACTTGAGACTGGATCGTAAGACAAGGCAGGGTTGTAAGCGTGCACCCAAAGCCAGCTTACAAATACTCTTACATTTACTGGTTTGGGTTTTAAATTATCTTTGCCTCTTTTTTCTCATCTTCCCTCACTTTTTTTGTCATTTCGATTAAGGAAATATTTGCCAAGTACTGACCTTGGTGTTGCTAGGCATGAGCTCCAAGGAGCTCAGCTTAGAACCAGCCCCATTTGACTCGTGCTTTTCTCGCCTCTTAGGGAGCACAGAAGGAATGGGTTGGTGTCATTATGGTTTGTTTTGAGTAATGTGTATTCACTCTGATATAGGGAGTTGTTGAAGGTGTTTGAGCAGGGGAAGCAACTGGTTTAAAATTGTTGTATAGGAAGATTAATCTGGTAGTGGTGCATCGGATGGATTGGAACACAGGGTGACTGGGTATGGCGGTGATCTCTTACCTTTATAGGACACTTGATGGTCTACAAGGCACTTCCATAGATGTATGATCTCATTTGCATGGATGCAAGCTAGAGCTCAGAGAGGATTGGTGATAGCTGGCGTGTTTAGCAAGGGCTTAAAGAAAGGGGTTGTCGTGGGGAGGAAGGTGGGACCAGTGTGCATGGCCTTTTAGAAGCCAAATCTATAAGGCTTGGGATCCGAGTAGATGTTGGTTATCAGGGAGAATAAAGAGTCAGATAATATTGAGATTTTACGGTTAGACTTCTGGGAAGAGTGTGGCCATTTATTTACAGAAATAGGGAGATGAGAATATATGCAAGTTTGGTTTGGAGTATTAGATTGAGGGGCAGGGGGGTAGTTGAGGTAGCAATATCCAGTGAACAGTTTAAAAGCTGGGTGTAAGAGTGGGGCCAGGTGTTTTTGCTATTTAGAAGGTCATTGGTGACTTTAGAAAGTAATTTCAGGAGAGTGGTGGAGGAGGAAGCCACATCAGAAAAATAAGAAATCGCCGGTTGCTGAGGTAGAACTACGGGTGTGGGAAGGGGTGGATGGGGGAGCAGTGGAGGGTGTTGGTGAGCCTGTGCTCTTCCTTAGGTGCGGAAAGGAGGGAAACAGGGAGCCAGACTGCAAGGGGATTTTGAGGTGGAGAGAGTGTGTGTTTGAGGAGCCTCTAACAGAAGACTTCTTGGTACAGGATTAAGTGAAATCGGTTGTATTGTGAGGAGGAAAAGGATTTGGTGCTTAAAAAAAAAGGCAGAAGTTGGGACAGCACATGTTGGAAGTATTGAGGGAGGTCAAGAAAAGGTGAACCAAAGAAGAGGCAAAACGTTACAAATTTTCAGTGACTCTAGTCAGCATAGTTTTGTGGCTTTCCAGAAGGTCAGAGAAACCAGAAAGCAGAATTAGAAGGAGTAAGCATTTCTGGGCTGGGAATTAGAAGTCAAGGAGCATGGGGAGAGTTGAGAAGTTCAAGGGCATTAGCCAGTTATTATTTCATAGTTGGGCAGAGGTGAGGAAAACTTTGCTTGCAGGCCATTATTACTTCTGGCAATAATTGAGGGAGAAGGTCAAAGCTGATATTTGAAAGGATAGTTTGGAATTATTGGTGATTTGCAATTATCTATGCTGAATCATTTTATTTAGGGAGTATCTGCACAGAATTAACAAGGAAAGAGAGCCCCGAGTATTTTCTTCTGCTGTCGAAAGTCTTGCATCACTGGCCCACTATTGCCTGTTTTTCTCATCTGTAAAACAGGCGTAGTTATAGCCTACCTTCACCTTGGTTTTGTGTTCACCAGCTATTTGGTGGTGTGTACAATCTACGACTTTGTTGTGACTTAATGACCTTTCTGGGCAGCATTTTCCTAATGCTACAGAGTTATGAGCGCCTCTTTTATGAACCCTATTCATTCCCTTTTGCAGATTATTGTAAATTTCTCTAAAGGTCCTCCCTCACACATCTTTGTCACCTTTCATTCTTAAAAGTCAGACTTTCACTTTCTTTAAAGCAGGTCTGAAGAAAACCCTGTGGAAGGAGATTGATGCCATTCTGCAGAAGAGGATTATGGTGCTGGATGGAGGCATGGGGACCATGATCCAGCGGCACAAGCTAAATGAAGAAGACTTCCGAGGTCAAGAATTTCAAGATCATGCCAGGCCGCTGAAAGGCAACAATGACATTTTAAGTATAACTCAGCCCGATGTCATTTACCAAATCCATAAGGTAAAGTATTCCCAGGTCCCTAAGTGTATTCATTCTGTTATTCTGCAAGCTGTTTCATGTAGCAGGGCAGACTGCTCTGCTGGGTACTCTGGAGAATAAAGAAGAAAGAGGCAGTTTATTCAGAAAGCAGGCTTTGGACATCAAATAAGAGTCATGTATTATGTTGGGGACTCAGGATAAGGGAATGAGGTAGGTAGATTTTCTGCACTTGAGGCATGTAAACTCTATTGAAAAACTATGAGATGCTGGACAATTAAGGGTTTTCACACTAGTGAGCCTGGGAAAACGATCTTATTTAAGTCACTGCAATAGCCCTGATGAAGAAATGCTTAAAGGTGGTGTCTTAGCTTTGGCGGATATATAATTTGTTACCATAGTCTGGGTTACACAAGCACACATTTATTTCTCACAGTTCTGGAACCTGGAAGCCCATAGTCAAGGTGCCAGCAGATCTTGGGTCTGGTGAGGGCCCGCTTGTGTATGGATAGCTGTCTTCTCTTTGTATCTTTATGTGACAGAGAGCAGAGAGGACAAAAAACTCTCATGTTTCTTCTTATAAGGCCGCTGCTGTGGTCTAAATGTTTGTGACCCCCTGAGATTCATATGTAAAGTCCCAGTGCCCAATGTGATGGTATTAGGAGGTGGCCTTGTAAAAGAGGCCCAAGGGCATTTATTCAGCCCTTCTGCCATGAAGACACAGTGAGAAGATGCTGTCTGGTGATCTAGAAAGCTGGTGCTCACCCATTATAAAATTCTCGGATACAATTACCGTTCATGTGTTTCATATTTTAGTCTAATTTTCTATACTTGGATTTAAAAAAATTAAATTGGGATTACATTGCTTCATACTGTCTTATAATTTGCATTCTTTTTTTTTTTTTTTTTTTTTTTTTTGAGACGGACTTTCGCTCTTGTTACCCAGGCTGGAGTGCAATGGCGCGATCTCGGCTCACCGCAACCTCCGCCTCCTGGGTTCAGGCGATTCTCCTGCATCAGCCTCCTGAGTAGCTAGTAGTAGGCACACGCCACCATGCCCAGCTAATTTTTTGTATTTTTAGTAGAGACGGGGTTTCACCATGTTGACCGGGATGGTCTCGATCTCTCGACCTCGTGATCCACCCGCCTCGGCCTCCCAAAGTGCTGGGATTACAGGCTTGAGCCACCGCGCCCGGCCTTGCATTTTTTTTTTTTAGATGGAGTCTCGCACTGTCACCCAGGCTGTAGTGCAGTGGCGCAATCTCAGCTCACTGCATTCTCTGCTTCCTGGGTTCAAGCGGTTCTCCTACCTCAGCCTCCCGAGTAACTGGGACTACAGGCGTGTGCCACCACTCCCAGCTAATTTTTTTGCATTTTTAGTAGAGATGGGGTTTCACTGTGTTGGCCAGGGTGGTTTCGATCTCCTGACGTCGTGATCCGCCCCCCTCGGCCTCCCAAAGTGCTGGGATTACAGGCGTGATGTGAGCCACCACACCCAGCCTGCATTTTTTTACTTGTCTACCATGAGTATTAAATATTCCGAAACATGGTTTTAATAACTTCATAATCTATCCTATGTACATAACATCATTTAACTAATCTCCTTATTCCTAGGTTTAAGTTTATTTTCAATTTTTCTTGCTCTTTAAAAATAAAAACTTAAATTAGTTCTTGTAAAACAAATCTCATAGATAAGAATAAATTCTCATTTGACCATACTCTAAATTGCTATTTTTTCCTCAAAGATAACCACTGATATTAGTTGGTGTGTATTGTACCAGATCCTTTTGTTATGCATTTCATATATGCATATTTGAAGGACTATATACACATATACATACACACACATATATGTAGACGACTCATAGTACGCTCTGTGTGCTTTTTTAAATTTAATGGTGTCTTTCTTTACATATCATTCTATTTAATTTTTCTACTCAGTAATACTTTGCAGAAGCTTTCCATGTCAGTATATGTAGATATACACAGTGTTTTTTTTTTTTTAGCTGTCACATAGCACGTGATAAAGTGGATATATTATAGTTTATTTAGCTATTTCTCTATTGGTAGATATTCAGGATGTTTGTTACTGTTACTATAAATGTGCATGTCTTGGCTTTCATCCCCCAGTGCTGCTTCAGGCATTGTTCCTCGGCTTCGGAGAGGGTTGGGTTTATTCAGTATTGGAAAGTCAGAGGGGTCCGGAGATTCCAGGGTGCCAGTCAGATTGAGGTTGAGACAAGCCAAAGAGTGAAGCCAGGAAGACGAGTTTCGAAGATCTTCACGGTTTCATTAAGGATGTGATGCTGGTTCAGAGGGACTGGGAGATATAGACTGAGAAAATTGTGGTCAGATCCTGAGATCTCTGAGGTGGTACACTTCTTGGTGGGGATCGGGTTGTGCCAAAGCAGGAAGAAGATAAGGGAACAGAAGGAACAGAACTACCATTTGTCGAGTGCCCATTATGTGCCAGACATTTGATGCATTATCTTTTTTGTTGTTGTTTTTTTGAGACAGGGTCTTACTCTGTCACCCAGGCTGGAATGCAGTGGTGCTACTGTGGCTTACTCTAGCCCACTATGGCTCACTTGAACCTCTGGGCTCAAGCAGTCCTCCTGCCTTAGCCTTCTGAGTAGGTAGGACTACGAGCATGTGCCACCATGCCTGGCTAATTTTTTGTAAATTGTTTTGTTTACAGACAGGGTCTTTCTATGTTGCACAGGCTGGTCTTGAACTCCTGGCCTCAAGCAGTCCTTTCACTTTGGCCTCCCAGAGTGTTAGGATTATAGGCATGAGCCACCATGCCTGGCTGATGTGTTACCTTATATTAGCAAATAGCCACCCTGTGAAGTAGGGTTAGAATATTTTTGAATGAGGAGGCTGAGACTTGGAGAGTTTAAGGGACTTGATTAAATTCTTATAACAGCCTATTAACATTGTCTGAATTCAAGTTCTCTGTTTATTTTTTCATACCACGTGCTTTTCTGTGAAAGCCTTAAACCTTTTTGCATCTCTACCTTCTAGTGCAGTACCTTACTCTTAGTAGTCAAAAGGTAGTTGGTGATAATGGTGGTGATGAAAGGGCATGTTTATTCTGGAGGGACAAGAAACTCTAAAACTCATAACTGACATTATAATCTCTTGTTGCAGGAATACTTGCTGGCTGGCGCAGATATTATTGAAACAAATACTTTTAGCAGCACTAGTATTGCCCAAGCTGACTATGGCCTTGAACACTTGGTAAGAATTCTGTTGTTCCATGTTTCTAAGATGCTTATGAGCTTTTGCTACATCAGAACTTGCTAGTGAGAAAGCACTAGAAGCTGCAGAGTCAAGCTCATGCTTAGTTATATGTTGTTTGTGATGAGACAGGGAGAATGGTGTGAATCCCTCCTGCTTATGAACACAGTGGACCCTTCATTTTCCAACTGGCTTCTTTTATGGGCAAGTCATAATCAAATATAAATGATACTGTGCAGTAGCTGTTGATAAAGGCGTAATCACTGGCCGTATGCATACAGTATTGTGAGGCCTTTTTAAGTTTTAGGTGGCAGCCTTGGTTTATTTTCTTTTTAAAAAATTGTGATAAAATACACATAACATAAAATTTAATGTAATTATTTTTAAATATACGCTTCAGTGGCATTTGTGCTATCATCACCACTGTCCTTTCCCAGAACCTTTTCATTTTCCCAAACTGAAACTCTGTATCCATTAAACAATACCTCCCCATCTGTACCCCCAACCCCAGCCCCAGCACACTATTCTACTTTCTGTCTCTATGGATTTGATTATTCTAGGTACCTTAGATACGTTGACTCATATAGTATTTGGCCTTTTGTAACTAGTTTATTTCACTTAATGTAATGTCCTCAAGGTTCATCCATGTCATTGTGTGTGTCAGGATTTCCTTCCTTTTTAAGGTTGAATAATATACCATTGTATGTATATACCACGTTTTGCCTATTCATCTGTTGATCATTTGGGTCACCTCTACCTTTCTGCTGTTGTGAATATGCAGTGTTGCTATGTACATGTGTATACAAATATCTGTTTAAGTCCCTGCATTCAATTTTTTTGTATATATACATGGAAGTTGAATTGTTAGATGATACGACAATTCTGTTTAACTTTTTGAGAAACTGCTATACTGTTTTTCAGAGTGGCTGTATCATTTTTTTTTTTTTTTTTTTTTTTCCTGAGGCAGGGTCTTACTCTGTCACCCAGGCTGGAGTGCAGTGGCGCGATCTTGGCTCACTGCAACCTCTGCCTTCCAGGTTCAAGCAAGTCTCCTGCCTCAGCCCTCTGAGTACCTGGGACTACAGGTGTGCTCTACCATGCCCTACTAATTTTTGTAGTTTTTGTAGAGACGAGTGGTTTTGCCATGTTGTCCACGCTGGTCTTGAATTCCTGAGCTCAGGTAATCTGTCTGCCTCAGCCTTCCAAAGTGCCGGGATTACAGGTGTGAGCCACGTGCCTGGCCAGCCGCACCATTTTGCATTCCCACCAGCAGTGAACTAGAGTGTCAGTATTACCATTTAGTTTCTATTTTTTTGATAGTAGTCATCCTATTGATTACTATTGGCAGATTTGTTTTCCTTTTAATTGATATGATGCTTCCATATTTAAATTTTGTAAAACCTTAATGATAGAAATCTATGGTACATGTTAATGTCCCCATTTGTGTGTGGATATTTCCAGACACATGATTCTGTTTTCATGTAAGCAATGTCTTACAGTTACTTTTGTGTCATTTTGGAGCTGAAGTTGGCCAACATTTTTAAATAAAGGGCCAGATAGTACATATTTTGGCTTTGTTAGCTACATACAGTCTTTTGCCAAATACTCAACTCCATCATGTAGTGTGGAAGCAGCTATAGACATTGTATAAATAAGTGGGTATACTTTATCTCAGTAAAACTTTATTTACAAAAACCAGCAGTGGACTTGATTTGCCCTGTGAGCCACAGTTTGCCAACATCTATTTAGGATATTCTGGGTGTTAAATTACTGGATGTGAGTATTCAGGACACATAGGATCTTAAGAATTCAAAGGAACCTGAAGATCACAAGTCTAAGTTCTCCTGACTTGGTCTGTGGAAGAGCTTCTGGAGGGCCATGAACGTCCTTAAATCATAGGCAACACTGTGTGTGTATGTGCATATTTGCTTTTTATTTCCTAATGAGAGGGTTCATAGTCCGTTATGAAATTCTCAGGTGGTTAATAATATGCAAAAAGTTCAGAATTACTGATTCCAACTGTTGTACATGAATCAAGGCCTGGGAAAGTTACTGTGGGAACTGCCTGGTCAGGCAATGACAGACTAGTCCTTGAATCCACGTGTTCTGCCTCCCCATGCTTTTTCCATTTGCTGTATTTTTTTCTTAATTCTCAGAATATTTAACCACACAGGTTATTCTCTGACATGCTAGCTGTCTAGGGATTGTCCTTTTTTTACCAGCGAGCTCATGATTTGGAAGGAGAACCTAAAAGCATTCCCCAAGGACTCTTGTCTTTCCTTGCTGCCTTTCAAGTCTGGAGCTGATATGCCTTCTTGGCTAGGATTTCACTCAGACCCCAGATTAATTCACTCTACATTTCCTTACTGAAGAAAACTGAGTATTAGATGGTCATGAATCCACTACTTATCATGTGGAGGAAAAGGACAAGCTAACGTTTGTGGTTGATATGTATTAGGCCTACCGGATGAACAAGTGCTCTGCAGAAGTGGCCAGAAAAGCTGCTGAGGAGATAACTCTCCAGACGGGTAAGGAATGTTCTTCTCTTTTTTCGCACACAAGGTTCCTTTAATACTCTCAGCTATATTGTGGTGTCTTTATTGCAGTTTTTCCTTATGTGGCCTTTGGCTTCGGAGTAACACTGGAGACACTGTATTTTACATGTTTGTAGATTACTTCTCTGCAGTTTCATAATCAAACCCTCCACACCTTTGAATTGATGCCAGCCCTGTGGTTCTTGGGCTCAGGATTTGCTCTTTCACCCTGGTTTAGCCTGACTTTGTAGCTAGGCCCCTGACTCCCTTGTGTATTTAGGGCTGAAATAATTCATCAGGTCATTAAAGTAACAGCTGGCTGTTTTGATGATCTTGGCTATTATTAGGATAGTTGATCTCATTTTTTAAAGATACTGTCATCTCCGTGATTAGCTGATGCAGGTAGAGATACTGCCTTTCCAGCATTCTCCTTTTACTATGGATGTCCTTGAAGTCTCTGTGAAGCACACAAAAGAGTGTGGCGTTAGAGTCAGTCTTGCTGGGACTTGAAAAGTGGCTCCTGAAATAACTAGCCTCCTGGCTGGATGCCATCAGAACACTTGGGCACCAGTTGGTAGGAGGCTTTGAGGGAAGGAAAGAATATGAGAAATACATGGAGCACCTTAAGATTTGGAAACGTGAAGTTATTGCCAACAGAAAAGCAAAATTGCTGTGAAGTTATACATAGCATACTAATGAAGACCAATGCAGTTTATAGGAACTCTGTTTCTAAGAGATAATGTTTAAATTCATAGCAGTGTATAGACTATTACTCCAACAGAGTCACAGGTCAGAGGATACTGAACCAGCTAAAGCAGGGAGAGATAAGGACATTTTTCATATGCCCACATTATTGCTTAGCTTTGGTGATGAAAAAGAATATTTGGGCCTGTAACCTGTTCAGAAGCTGGTTTATCCATTAGCTAATAGTCTTCTCCAGTTAAATACAGCATAGCTCAGGTTGTTGAGTGGCCAAAGTCATCAAGGTAATGAGCAGTACGACCTCTGGCTTCTGTGTGAATGAACACAACTTCCCATGCCATTTTAGAAGCACCTAGATTCCAGGCTAGAGGAAAAGTTATTAAAGAAAGATTTGCTCTACTTCATACTTCCAATTTCAGACTTTATAATTGTTAATCCTGATTTAGTATCTCCTCCTAGTGAAGAGCCTGCAATATGGTACTGGAGAGCATTTCAAGTTAAATGCTAATGTGAGGTGATTTTGCAGAACTTATGTTAAGTTCAAAACCTTTAAGGTCTCATAAAAATAGGAAGAGAGGGAATTTGTCCAAACACAGCTGTGGTAATAGAAAAGGATTACTTACTGAAATGTTTTAGTCAGTTGTGTGAGAATTCAGTTTTGGGGACTGGTTCCATGAGAATATGTGCATATCTCTATGGCATAATTTCCTTAGTGGGATCTGGTGCAGCCCCATGATCAAATATATATGAACAAAATCTATGAATCATCTGTTTAGGAGAGGTCAAGTTTTATTGTCAAATTGGGAAAAAAGTTTGGCTTTTTAGAGGTTTTTGGATTTCAGAGTTATGGACAAAAGATTATAGACTTGTGTTCTAGAAAAAAATCTTACTGGCTATTCACAATAAAAAATGTTCAGCCATTTAGAGATTTCATACTTATTTTTCTTTTCCTAAAGGAATTAAGAGGTTTGTGGCAGGGGCTCTGGGTCCGACTAATAAGACACTCTCCGTATCTCCGTCTGTGGAAAGACCGGATTATAGGAACATCAGTGAGTATTTATCACATACAGTCATTGATTTGGGCAAGTAGCTCTGTCCTACAGTAAGCTATAAATCTGCAAAATGGAACCAATAACAGGATCTACCATAGAGTTACTTTGATTTCATCCATGTAGAAGATATACCACAGTACCTGGAATATAGTAGACATCTAAATAAAAAGTTAGCTATGATGATGATGATTATTTGAACTTGCTTTCAGATATAGATGGTGTTGTGTTAATGCTGCTTTGTCAGCTGTGGAAATGAAACCAACTAAAACAAAACTAAACTCAGAAGTTGAGCAAATTTGGGTATTAGGTTTTTGGTGTGTTATAAAATAGCTCACTATTTCCTCGTTCATCAGAAGGCAGTCCAAACTATCTAGACATCTGTATTAGTCGATTTTCACACTACTGATAAAGACAAGACTGAGCAATTTACAGAAGAAAGAGAGGTTTAATGGACTTACAGTTCCATGTGGATGGGGAGGCCTCACAATCAGGGAAGGAGGAGCAAGCTACATCTTACATGGATGGCAGCAGGCAAAGAGAGAGCTTGTGCAGGCAAACTCCCCCTTGTATGACCATCAGATATGAGACTTACTCACTGTTACAAGAACAGCACGGAAAGGACCTGCCCTCATGACTCAATTACCTCCCACCAGGTACCTCCCACAACGTGTTGGAATTCGAGAAGAGATTTGGGTGGGAACACAGCCAAATCATATCAACATGCTAGCATTATGAATCTTATAAACTACCATGTATAAACATATTTATATTGAGGTTTGACAAAAAAAAAAAAAAAAAATCCCAAGTATCTAGGTCAATTTCTAAGCATCAAGACTATAAAAAACAGAAAGCATTAAAGTAACAGAGCTGAATAGTCATGATTCCATATCTGGTAGTGTAGTCTGTGGAGATGATGAGATCAAGCAAGTATAGTTTGTAGGGTTTTGGTTTATGGAACTGTGTGTGTCATGATACCACGCTTTTTCACCAGGAGTTGCTCATACTAGGCTTATGAGTGGTTGATGCTTTCTTTTGTCTAGATGTGCCAGTGGGGAGCTAACTTCTCCTTGCTCTTGGGCTGTACAAGGTAAAGTACAGTAAGTCTTGACTTAACGTCATCGGCAGGTTCTTGAACACTGCACCTTTAAGCAAAACGATGCATAGCAGGTCCTCAAATAACGTCATTTCCTTCAACAGCATTTCATTATAATGTTGATAAGAAAATCCTGGTTTTGTTATATATTGTCTTAATCAGAGTTGCAATTTCTGAGAACCTGTCAACGATGTTACAGGAGGACCTACCGTGTATTCGGACAGCAAGCATAACTTTGCTGTATAGCCTTCTCTATGAGATATCTGAGCATTTTTTCTTTTTTGGTTGGGAGATAAAATAGGGAGAGAGATGATCTCTCATGTGGAAATAGATAACCTAAGACACTTTAAAAAATTTTTTTGAGACCGTGTCTCACTTTGTTGCCCAGGTTGGAGTGCAGTGGCATGATCTTGGCTCACCGCAGCCTCTACCTCCCAGGTTTGACTGCTTATCCTGCCCCAGTCTCCCCAGGAGCTGGGATTACAGGCGTGTGCCACCGCGCTGGGCTAATTTTTGTATTTTTAAAGTAGAGTCGGGGTTTCACCATGTTGGCCAGGCAGGTCTTGAACTCCCGACCTCAAGTGATCTGTTCTCCTTGGCATCCCACAATGCTGGTGTGAGCCACTGCACCGGGCCAACCCAAGACATTTATAACAAAAATTTTACCTAGAGGTGATTGAATACTTTTTGTTTGAGACTGGAATTGCCCAGCAGACAGGTTTCTTCTCTGACAGAGTTGGTGTAAGACCAGAGACAAAATCTGTGGCCCTTCAGCCGTTTACCACAGTGAGTGACTTGAACTCAGTCTGTGACCTACCCACGTCAATGTGACATGTTTCTCACAGTCAGCTCTTAACCAGTTGGTTGAAATGAGCTATGGAAAGAATGATGTATTTCAAAGATGTTGAATGTGAGGTACATGTTTAAGAAATTCATACACCTTCCCTCTTCTCAGCTCATACATGGGAAGTGGAAGTTACGTGGCAGCTGTTTAGGAACAACTGCGTTCAGCTTACTTGTTTACCTTCTGTCCCTGCCACATTGCTTTATTTGGTTTCTTACAAAAGATCATGTTCTTAAACTATGCATTGTAAACCAGCAATAGTTCACAGGTGCCAGACCTGCACCTGGATACCCTAGGGCCATTCAGAGGATACTGGTGACTGATGTGCTGGGTGTGATTTATTTTTTGCAGCATTTGATGAGCTTGTTGGAGCATACCAAGAGCAGGCCAGAGGACTTCTGGATGGCGGGGTTGATATCTTACTCATTGAAACTATTTTTGATACTGCCAATGCCAAGGTGAGTTAAGGGAGAAAAAACAGACAGGGCTGGGGTGAGGGCTGTGGGTGAGTCCCCTAATGTAGGGAGAAGATAATATTAGCCATTATCCAAGTTAAATGTATTACTTGTATTTGCTCCATTTTATTCTTGAATATATTTTTAACTGAGGCCAATAAGAACAATAAGAAAAACCAAAAAACCTGCTTTTGAAGCATTTAAAGTAACTTTTTCTAATTAGGAAAATAAATATTTTCATATATAGCTACTGTCAGTGCATATGTCCCTAGGTAATAAAATACATGCTGCTGGTTCTAAATTTGAAAGATGCATAAATGTATGGAGTGAAAAGTGAATGTCTTTTCCTTTCCTTTCCTAGCCTCTAGTTATCTAGCTCCCTTTCCAGAGACAACTATGACTACCAGTTTGGGGGGCCTGACAGATGCTATGCAGATATAAGCATGCATGTATGTGTGTGTGTGTGTGTGTTCCTTACATGCAAAGGCACATAAGTGTATGGGGAGAGAAGCAAATATCTTTATACGTATGTTTTTATACAGTATATCTATAGGATACGTTTCTACAAGTAAAATTGCTGAATCAGAGGGTATGTGCATTGGTAATTTTTGTCTTTAGTGTCAAATTACCCTCCTTTGAGACTGGACTCATTTATATTCTCTTCAGCAAGCAGTGTACCATAGTGCTGGTTTCACGACACCCTCCCTAGCACTGTTTGACTTTTTTCAGTTTCACACGTGGTCCCTCACTGTAGTTTTTAACTTGCATATTTCTTGAGCATCTTTCTTCAGTTTTAGAGCCATTTATATTTCTTTTTCTATGGTTTATGTCTTCTGTCCTTTTTTCTATTGGACTTTGGCTTTTTAAAATTGAGTCCTTTACTGAGGAAATCAGGTCCTTGTCAATCATGTGTAGCAATACTGTCCTCTGGCTTGTTTCACATTTGACTTTATTCATGGTGGTGATGGTGGTAGTGTTGTGGCATTGTTTTGGGTGTATGTGTGCTTTAATAGTATAGGAGATTTTTTCTTAAATGTTGTATGGTTGAATTTACAGATGCTATTTTTTTGTGGAGGGAGAGGGGAGATTATACTTACAGAGGCACTCCTCGGTCAAAGAGAGGGAAAAAAATGGAAAAATGGCCTTTTCCTCCCTAGTATTTTACAGTTGCATTAAATATTTAATTGCGTGGAAATAAGACCACAGATCCAGAATTTTTGAACTTAAAAAAAAAAAACAACATTTTCTAAAATACTTGCAAGCACGAAGAATGTAGAGAGCCACTAGCAGCCTGAAGCTAGATGCCTACTCTACCTCACGCTTCACATATCGCTTCTATTAGGTTCTTTTTATGTATCTTTTTAGAAATTGTTTTCTGAACCTCCAGTAAAGAAATTCTAATTTTAAAAGGAATTCAGATACACATTTTGAAACTAAGAGCAGTAACAAACAAGATAAGGAATATATTTGAAATGAGATTCATATATACATTTGAAAAGAGTCACAGTATTGTTTAGATTAGAAATAAGAGGGATTAACATTCGGGGATAAAGCATTAAGGATAGGTTTTGTTGAGTTTCTAAGTTTTAAAATGTGTGGCATACATTCTTCTGGTTATACAGAACTAGTTTCCCTCACGATGCATCCGGTATTTATTTTGGAGTGAGAAATAAAATCGAGAGCTAACTTTTTCCCTCTAGAGTTTAGTTTTCCTACCACCATCTATTAAACATCCTGTTATTTCCCAGTGATAGGAATGATGTGGAACATTAGCCTTGTCATGCAAAATTCTGGAGTGCATTTGGATCTAGTGTTTTCTAGTGATCTGTTTGCTGATGTGATACTACTGGACTATTAGCCATAACATTAGAATATGTCTGAGTAACTGGTAGACCTAGATGTTTTTATTTTTATTGAGTCCCACCCCCTTTTCTAGAACTTTCATGGCTATTCTTATATGTTTGTTTTCCATAAGATCGTTAGGATCAATTTGTCTGGTTCTAAAAAGGAAATTCTGATATTGTTGATTTAGTAACTTTCTGTGAAAAAAACCTACCATCACTGGAAAGGGACACATTAATTACAGGTTGCGTTCTGATTTCAGAGAATTAATTGTGAAAACATGCCCATCTTAGAATCAAGAACTGTAATGACAAAAAGAGAAGATCTGTTGCCTAGATCTTAAAATATGGACGGAACAGTACAGAGTAACATGAGATTTGTACCTTTACTACCTAATCTAAGCTCATGCTGTCTTTCACAGTGCTGGAAGTGATGCTGTGGGTTCATATACTTAACCATGTATATGAAAGGATATGAAAGGCAGGGACATTATTATTTATTTATTTATTTTTGAGACAGGGGCTTGCTCTGTAATCCAGGCTGGAATGCAGTAGCATGATCACAATTTAGCTGCAACCTTGAACTCCTGGGCCCAGGCAGTTGTTCTGTCTCAGCCTCCCGAGTGTTATTTATTTACTTTTAATTTTTATTGAGAAAAGGAAGAAAGAATAGCTCTTCAGCTCCTCCTTGAGGAAGTAGTTTCTAGGTGGACTTTAAGTCAGGATTTGTTTTATTTTAATATGCACAGTATTACACTTGAGAAAGGGGTGCTGGGGTTGGGCCTTGTAAGGAAGACGCTTCTTCCTAGAGAGCTTGGTGCATATCTTACCTGAAGAGGTCTTAGAAAAGGGTGCATTCTAATTGGGTAGTTATACTAACCTTGGACACAGTCTCAGAAATAAAGGTATTCTTCCTTTTTTCCCTGACAGGCAGCCTTGTTTGCACTCCAAAAACTTTTTGAGGAGACATATGCTCCCCGGCCTATCTTTGTAAGTTCTAAGGTGTTTGCACAATACATTCTGTCTTTTATTAATAATTGTTCTTTTGAGCATGTTTTCCGCCCTTGCATAGTAGAACTATTGATAGTATCTTTTAGAATTCATCTACTTTAACTTCTTCTGTTCACTTCCCTCCCACCACTTCTAGATCAATAACAGTCTTTTATCTGGAGAGGCAAGGAAAATGAATCTAGAAGTAGTTGGTGGAAGGCAAGCTGTTCAAAAGAAGCCCACTGTATTGGTCCTTGAAGTTAAAGACTTCAAGACTGATTAGGGCCTAAGGAGGGCTGGATTTGCATGCTGATGGCCACATACTCAACACTGAAGACACCAGACTGCCAATTTATTAACTCAGTAGGCGTACCTCTCTGTGAGTCCTAAAATTGCTTGGTGAGAATCGAATTGAATCAAAACACAGGTGTTAGATAAATCTAATGTTTAACAGCAGGAGGTCAGGATGACTTGAGGTTCTCTCTGGGAAACCTGCCTCTAACAATAGACTGGACATGTGAATTCCAAAGCTGTTTTGGTCATTGCTTTTGCCTCAGTGACTTTCCCTTGTTGCTGTTTCTGTGGCTTCTTGCCTCCTCCCTCAAGTCTCTTGACAAATGTCTATTCTAACTGTTACAGGAAGTGCTCCCTGTGATTTTGAGTTCCACAGCTCTTTTACTTGTGAAAGGACAAAGGAAGTCAGCTTGTTCATTTTATTTTGTCTTTATGCCTATATTCTTTTTTTTTTTTTTTTTTTTTTTTTTGAGATGGAGTTTTGCTCTTGTTACCCAGGATGTATGCCTATATTCTTAGCTTGAGTCTGTATTATTGACTTCGTTTACTTTGTCAATTCAGATTTCAGGGACGATTGTTGATAAAAGTGGCCGGACTCTTTCTGGACAGACAGGAGAGGCATTTGTCATCAGTGTGTCTCATGCAGACCCGCTCTGGTGAGTGATTCATCTTTCCTTGACTTCCTTTCTTTCTTGGGGAGCCTTTTCTGATGGCTGTGGAATGTGACCTGGGAGGGGATTGCTTTCGCAGATTTCACTGTCCCACACTTCTGCTCTATTGACTTTTCTTTAAGTACTTTCAGACTTTTCCCTAAAGGATGCAGAAGATCACTGGCTAAATGGGTCAATTTGAGGGACTGGGAGAGTTCTCATACTTCCCAATGGTTGTCTGTTTGTCTGCAGAGGTGCCCCTTATAGTTTGCAGTGCTCTGCAAATTTTAGGCCAGTGCCACTCCCTATTTATGAGGCAACCAGAAGCAATCTGTCTTGGAATAAAGTGGGACTTCTAAAGCTCAGGTTTTTATCTGTAAAGCGAACATGGCGCTTGGCACGGTGGTGTGTGCCTGTAGTCCCAGCTTCTTGGGAGGTGGAGGCAGGAGGATCTCTTGAAGCCAGGTGTTGGAGGCTGTAGTATACTATGATAGCTCCGTGAATAACCACTGCATTTCAGTGTGGCCAGCATAGCAGGACCCTTTCTCTAAAGAATTAAATTAACATGACTTTCACAATCTATTTAAAAAAAATCTCCCTATTTATATTTTATTTTTCATATCAAAATGTTTTAAATTGTGTACTTTGAGTGACATGGAAGAGCCTCTGAGTATGTGTTTTGCCCGGACTTTTAAAATTCCTGGGCTTTTTTTCTTGTATTCCTCTTGCCTGGAAGCTCTGCTGGTCTTCTTCCCCCTTCCCCTCTTCCCTTCCTCCATACCCTTTCACTTTGTTGACTTCTTAGCCTTTAAGACTTATCTCAGGAAACTTCCCTCTAGCGAACATTTCCCCTCTCATTAGCCCAGGTCTGTGTCTTTGTTTGCTTTTATTTTACCCTTTGCTATAAAAAGTCAGAATAATGGACATTTGTTGAGAGTTTGCTGTGTGCCAGGCTCTGTTCTAAGAGCTTTATGTGAGTTCTTTCTTTAATTCTGGCAGTAACACTTTGAGGGCAGGTACTGGTATTAATGTACCCATTTTAACAAGAAGGTTCCTAAGACTCAGAGGTTGTAACTTGCCCAAGATGAAGTAAATAGAGGATCTGGGAACAGGAGCATACTGTTTACCACCGTATTAGATCATATTATACCAATTATGTGATGTTCTTTTTTCACACTTAAATGTTTGTAATTACAGAGTACATCTTACAGTAGACTTAATGTCATATTGTGATTTCTTAAAATGTGCCATTAATTTAAAGTGCCTTAACAGACGTTTGATTGAGTGTGATAACTACGAAAATCGTCGTATTGAATTGGGTTGTCATGACCTATTTCACAGCTTAGGATTTTTTCCTGAGCAGTCTCTTCATCTTTATTTCTCTAGTGTTAAGTAGAATTCTTGGCACATAGTAGGGATCTAATAAACATTTAACAGAAAAACTGAAGATAGGAAATGTAGGGGTCTCTGAAGACACAAATGTTATCTAGTTTATTCAAATTTTTTTTTTTTTGGCCTGTGAATATTTGGAGCATTCCTCCCTTCGTTGTCTTTCTCTTTTCCCACCCCCTTTGCCAAGTCTTAGTTTGTTATGTGGTTAAGTAAATGATACTGTAATGGATATGCTACTCATGATATATTTGTCAAAACCCACAGAATATACAAAAAAAGAATAAACCCTAATGTAAACTATAGACTTTAGTTACTAATCATGTATTGATACTGGTTCACATTGTAATAGGTGTACCACACCATTGCAAGATTTTAATAGTAATGATAGAATCTTTCCTAGTGGTTAGGTAGAACCTCTGTGTTGTCTTGAATGTCATTGGAGCCTTTAGTTTGCCAACAGTTCTCAAGGGCCCCTTAGAGGACGCTCTTCCTACCACTGTCTCACCTGCAGGAGCCTTGAGATGAGGTTTTATTGAGGTCTAAATAATTTGTTTTTATTGCTTAAGCAACCATTCAGTTAATTCTGACTCTTGATCCACTCAGTGGTTAATTTAAAAATTTTTTAAATAATCCTTTCTGTGACTTCAACTATAGCCTACTCACAGAGAGAATGTATTTGGCCTTTATTTTGTTATGAATCTGACAGACTGTAGGAGCAGATGGAAGGAGCAAATAATATGTGAAAAGGACACATATTCTTACATCTATGTAAGAAACTGTTGTTTACCGATTTGTGATGATCACAAACTACAGAACAGTGGGATAGAAGCTTTATATTACTGCTGATTCATCAAGTATTTATTGAAATACTTCTATATGCCCTGGAATACAGGCCAATGTGGAATAGTCCACCCTAGGAGAAATGCATAGGTAAATTAAATTAGAAAATAAACAGTGCTCTACAGAACTATGAATAAAAATCTGGCAATACATAGGAGTAGTGGAGTTCCTGTGGGATTTAGAGACAGCTTTGAGCGAGGTTTTAAAAACATGAGGCAGAGTTTTCTAACCAAAGAAAGGATGTTTGTATCCAAGTGAGGTCATAGCAATGGAAGAACTGTATAGTTTATAAGACGTTTTCTTTTTTTTTGAGTTTTTATCTTTCTTATTTTTGTTTTTTGATTTCCAACTTTTAAGTTCAGGGGTATATGTACAGGATGTGCAGGCGTGTTACATAGGTAACATGTAACCATAACGTGTAACCATAACATGTAACCATGGTGTTTTGCTGCACAGATCATCCCATCACCTAGATACTAAGCACAGCATCCATTAGCTATTCTTCCTGATGCTCTCACTCCTCCTACCCGCTACGTTCTGACAGCCCTAGTGTGTGTTGTTCCCCACTATGTGTCCATGTGTTCTCATCATTCAATTCCCACTTACAGGAGAACATGCAGAATTTGGTTTTCTGTTCCTGTATTAGTTGGCCCAGGATAATGGCTTCCAGTTCCATCCATGTCCCTGGGACATGATCTCATTCCTTTTTACGGCTGCGTAGTATTCCATGGTGTCCATATAGTACATTTTCTTTATTCAGTCTATCATTGATGGGCATTTAGGTTAATTCCGTGTTATAAGATGTTTTCATATATGGTATTTAATTTGAACTTTATATTAACTCTGAGAACTGATCAGGCATTATTGAAGTCACCTAACTAATGAAAATATGAGTTAATATTGGAACTAGGTTTGGGAAAAAGTCTAGGATCCTTTCTAACAATAACATGATGATTTAACATTTTTTGTTTGTTTGTTTTTTGAGACATAGTCTCACTCTGTTACCCAGGCTGGACATAATCTCGGCTCACTGCAACTTCCACCTTCTGGGTTCAAGTGATTCTTGTTCCTCAGCCACCTATGTAGCTGGGATTACAAGCATGTGCCACCGTGCCCAGCTAGTTTTTGTATTTTTAATAGAGGTAAGGTTTTACCATGTTGACCAGGCTGGCCTTGAACGGCTGGCTTCAGGTGATCTGCCTGCCTCAGCCTCCCAAAGTGCTGGGGTGACAGGTGTCAGCCACCACGCCCAGTCAGGTTTTTCATTTTTATCTGTTGTTGAGTCCGGTGACAGTAGCGTTAAGATTTTTTTTTAAAAAAAGAATATTTCAAGGGGAACAGGTAAAAGAACAAAACTGAGTAGGTCTATTCGAGGACTGTAAATTAGCCGTGCGCTGGACCCCGCAGCCTTAACTGAGATGTAATTCTGTCAGGCGTCAGCGATCACAGAATCATGTTTATTTTAGATGAGTTTCAGGTTTTCAGAAAAACTGAGCAGAAAGTACAGAGAGTTCTCATATACTCTCCTGCTCCAATTCTCCTATTATCAACAGCTTGTTTTTGGTGTGGTACACCTATTACAATACGAACCAATATCGAAACGTTACTATTAACTAAAGCCTCTAGTTTACCTTAGGGTTCCTTCTTGGTTTTATATGTTCCTTGGTTTTGTATATTCTGTGGGTATTGAAAAATATATCATGAGTAACATATATCCATTACAGTATCATACAGAATAGTTTCATTGCCCTAAAATTCCCCTGTGCTCCATTTACTTACCCTCTTTCCCGGCTCACTGGCAATGAATCTTTTCACTGTCTGTAGTTTTGCCTTTTCCAGAATGGAAATACAGTTGAAACCACATAGTATGTAGCCTTTTCAGACTGCCTTTTTTCACTTAGTGATGTTCACTTAAGGTTCATTTGTCTTTGTAAGCTTGATAGATTATTTCTTTTTAGCACTAAATAATATTTCGTTGTGAATATGTATTTGTTTTAACACTAAATAATATTTCGTTGTGATGAAGTACTACAGGTTTTTTTTTTCCGTTTGTGTATTGAAGACCATCTTGGTTGCTTCCAAGTTGTAGCAATTATGAATAAAGTTCCCATGGTCTTTCCGCGCTACCCACAGAGGGGTACATGCGCGTACGGCGCTGTTCTGGATTCCTGCCATAACTTAAAGGGAAACGTTCACAATGTCCAGAGCCCTTGATTTCCTGCAAATCAAGGAGGATGTTCTTAAGTTCCATGTAGCAGGAACCCACTTAGGTGGCACCAATCTTGACTTCCAGGTGGAACAGTACATCTGTAAAAGGAAAAGTGATGGCATCTACATCATAAATCTGAAGAGGACCTGGGAGGAGCTTCTGCTGGCAGCTTGTGCCATTGTTGCCATTGAAAATCCTGCTGATGTCAGTGTTATGTCCTCCGGGAGTACTGGCTGGAGGGCTGTGCTGAAGTTTGCTCCTGCCACGGAAGCCACCCCAGTTGCTGCCACTTCACTCCTGCAGCCTTCACCAGCCAGCTCCAGGCAGCCTCCTGGGAGCCACTGCTTCTTGTGGTTACTGACTCGAGGCCTGACCAGCAGCTTCTCACAGAGGCATTTTCTCTTTGAGATGGAGTTTCACTCTTGTTGCCCAGACTGGAGTGCAGTGGCACCATCTCAGCCCACTGCAACCTCCGCCTCACGGAGGCGTCTTACGTTAACCTACCAACCCTTGCTCTGTGTAACACAGATTCTCCTCTGCGCTATGTAGACATTGCCATCCCATGCAACAACAAGGGAGCTCACTCACTGGGTTTGATGTGGTGGATGCTGGCCTGGGAAGTTCTGCACGTGTGTGGCACCATTTCCCGTGAACACCTGTGGGAGGTCATGCCTGATCTCTACTTCTACAGAGATCCTGAAGAGACTGAAAGAGTAGGCTGCTGCTGAAAAGGCTGTGACCAAGGAGGAATTTCAGGGTGGATGGAACGCTGCAGCTCCTGAGTTCACTGCTACTCAGCCTGAGGTCGCACACTGGTCAGGCCCGCGGCTTCCCTCCGTGCCTGTGCAGCAGTTCCTACTGAAGACTGGAGCGCTCAGCCTGCCACGGAAGCCTGGTCTGCAGCTCCCACTGCTCAGGTCACTCGATGGGTAGGAGCAACCACTGAGTGGTCTTAATGCTGTTCTTGCACGGGCTCTTAAGCAACATGGAAATAAGGCTAACAGAAAATAAACTTATCAGTTGCTTCAAAAAAAAAAAAAAAGTTTCCGTGAACATTTATGGCAGGTTTTTGTGTAGACGTAAGTAGATTTCCATTCACTTGGGTAAATAACAGAGGATTGCTGGATCTTATGGTAAGACTAAGTGTCTTGTGAGAAACTGCCAAACTGTCTCCAAAGCTGCTGTTGCATGTTGCACTCCCACCAGCAGCGAACGAGAGGTCCTGTTGTTCGCATCCTTCCCAGCATTTGGTGATGTCAGTTTTGGATTTTAGCCATTCTGATAGGTGTATAGTGGTCTCTTGTTTTATTTGCAGTTCCTTAAAAACAGCTGATGATTTTGAGCATCTTTTCTTATGTGTACTTGTCATCTGTGTATCTTCTTTGGTGAGGGGTCTGTTCAGCTCTTTAGACAGTTTTTAAAATCGGATTTATTGTTGAATTTTAACAATTCTTTGTATATTTGGGATACAAGTCTGTCATAGTCTACTTTCTATTGCTGTAACAGAATACCTGAGACTGGGTAAATTTATAAAGAAAAGAGATTTATTTAGCTCACGATTCTGGAGTCTAAGAACTTCAAAATTGAATGGCCACATCTGGCAAGGGCCATGGGCTGCTTCATAGCATGACCAAAAAGTGAGAAGGCATGTTAGCATGTGTGAAAGAGAGGGGACAGGAGAGACTGGCCTTCTTTATAACAGCCTGTTCTTGAAAGAAGTGATTTATTCCCTTGAGAACTAATTCAGTCTCCAGGGAACCAACCCCAGTCTCTGGAGAAAGACGGTAATTCATCTTAATGATCTAATCACCTTGTAACGGCTTCACCTTCCAACACTGTTACATTGGCAATTACATTTCAACATGAATTTTGGCATGGACAAACCACATGCAAACCATAGCAAATCCTTTATCAGATAGGTGTTTTGCAAATACTTTCTCCCAGCCTGGGGTTTGTCTTCTCATGCTCTTAATACTGTCTTTCACCGAACGTTTTAAATCTTAGTGAAGTTCAGGTTATCAAATTTTGTTTTTTTTCCATGGATCTTGCTTTTGGTGTTTTACCTAAAAACTCATTGCCAAACCCATGATCATTCAAATTTTTTTCTGTGTTATTTACAGAATTTTAATCGTTTTGCAATTTATACATCGGTCTGTCTTCCATTTTGAGTTACTTTTTGTGAAAGATGTAATGTCTGTGTCTAAATTAGCTTTTTCAAATGCAGATGCCCAGTTGTTCCAGCAGCATTTATTGGAAAGAATATCCTTTCTCCATTGGATTACCTTTGTTTCTGTTAAAAATTAGTTGAATATATTTGTGTGGTTTTGTTTCTGGACTCTATTCTGTTCCATTAATCTGTTTGTCTCTTCTTTCACCAATTCCACACTGTCTTGATTGCTTTAGCTTTTTAGTAAGTCTTGGAGTCAGTAGGTCAGTCCTTCAACTTTTGTTCTTTTCTCTCGTTATTGTGTTGGCTATTCTGGGACTTTTGTTTTGCCATATAAACTTTAGAATCAGTTTGTTGATATTCACAAAATAACTGCTGGGATTTTCGTTGGGATTGTGTTGAATATAGATCAAGTGAGAGAATTGACATCTTAACAATATTAAGTCTTCCTCTTCATAAACTTGAAATACCTTTTCATTTATTTAGATTCACTTTGATGTCTTAAATTGGAATTTTATAGTTTTTTTCATATAGATCCAATTTTATAGTTTTTTTCAAATGATCCAAGATAATTTGTTTTGGTGCTAGAGTAAATGGTTTTGTGGGGATTTTTGCTTTTTTTTTCGAAACAGGGTCTCACTGTGTCACTCAAGCTGGAGTGCAGTGGCACCATCATGGCTCACTGTAGCCTCAGCCTCCCAAATTTAGTTGATCCACTACCTTCGCCTCCAAAGTAACTGAGACTATAGGTGTACTCCAGCATGCCTGGTTAATTTTTTTTTTTTTTTTTTTTCAGAGGTGGGGTTTTGCTATCAAACTTCTGGGCTCAAGTGATCCACCTGCCTTAGCCTCCCAAATGCTGAGATTACAGGCATGAGCCACTATGCCTAGCCTGTGTTTCTAATTTCAAATTTTGGTTGCTCATATCTGGTATATAAGTAAACAGTTTTTGTATATTTACCTCATATTTTGAAACCTTGGTATAATTGCTTATTAGCTCAAAGAGTTTTTAGTGATTCTTTGGGATTTTCTACATAGACAGTCATGTCGTTTGCGAACAAAGACAGTTTTATTTCTTCCTTTCCAATTCCTACACATACCTTTTACTTTCTGTCTTTTCTTATTGCATAGGACTTCATATACGATACTGAATAAGAGATTAGAGTGGAAGTCCTTGCCTTATTTCTCATCTTAGCAGGAAAGCATCTAGTTTTATATGATTAAGCATGATATTGGCTGGAAGTTTTTTGTACATATTCTTTATCAAGGACATTTCCCCTATTCCTAGTTTGCTGAATTTTTTAAATGAATGGGTATTGGATGTTTGTTTGTTAAATAATCTTAATTTTGGAATCATTTCAGATTTACAGAAAAGTTGCAAAGATAGTACATAGAATTTCTTTATATTCTTCTAGTTTTCATGTTAACATTTTGCATGACTATGGTACTTTTGTAAAAACTCAGAGTATATTACTGTAGGTTGAGTATCCCTTATCTGAAATGCCTGGGATGCCACTTTGCATTTAGGAATCACAATAAAAGGAAAAAAGTAAAATACGAGAACATTAGGGATCAGATAGTCTAGTAGCTTCATAGTTGATTCATAAATTCTGGAAGATCTCAGGCCCACCACCCACTGACAGCCTTGTAGGATAGCAGGGACTATACCTGTGGGGCAGGCACTAAGTCCCGGTGTTCTGGACTTTAAGGGTGGCTTCTTTCTACCATTCCATGTTCCTTCTACCTGCAAGATTTCCTTTTTCCTTCTTTTAAATGTTGCTTTCAGGTCAGATCTATTTTTAGCAGTGTTAGTTTGCTGACATTTCTGTCCCACAGTTTACCATTAGCCAATCTGTGAACTGATTAATGGAGTCCATCCATAGGCAGGGTCCTTCAGCTGTGAGATTATCTGAAGATGGAGACATTGGCAAAAATATTTGGTGCTGCACGGGACCTCAGTGAGATGGCTTTGTTGGTAGTTGAACAAAAGTGCTTTGAATGAGGAGATTTATTATCCACTTGGTCTTAGATATATTGTCTCTGAATATAACTTTTATATGAATAAATATTATGAATGAAAGTTGATGCTTCTAATATTTTTTTTTCTGTTTTTCTAGCATTGGATTAAATTGTGCTTTGGGTGCAGCTGAAATGAGACCTTTTATTGAAATAATTGGAAAATGTACAACAGCCTACGTCCTGTGTTACCCCAATGCAGGTATGTGTTTCAAGGGGGTCACAGATGGGGAGATAAAAATAGCATAAGACGTGAGGTAGATGAGGTAAGAGATCTTGATTAAAAAAGCTTGTTTTGTTTTGTAGGTGTTGGTATAGTTGACACTTAGCAGGAATGTTCTAAGTGAAGAGTATTTAGGTGCAGACCAGTGTTTCCCTGTAGACCCGAGGGAAGTTTGCTCAGCCTGAAGCTTCAGAATAGGACGTAACTTTCGGGAATAACTGACCAGAGCCTTGCCTTTGGTGACAGTATAAGCCTTGTGGAAGTGACCAGAAGGATGGGTATAAAGAAGAGAAGAGTGACCCTTTTTCTCTCGTCTGCTCTATTAGTAGAAGAGCAGAGGAGGAATCTTGTGTGGTGTTAACCTTTTTCTTCTCTGAAAGCTAGGACTTGCAGTTTATTATATGTAAATGTGTTGAAGATATTTGTAGACAGTTCTCAAACTGTCCCATTAAATCTTGGCGATTTGTTCTGGGTTAACCAGATTTCCCTGTGAATGTATTTGAGTGCTGCTTAGCTACTTAGAGCTAAAAGTCATTTTCCAGCCTTCTTTCTCAAAATATATCATTTTAATGCACAATGAATTTTATTTCCCACCAGGAGTAAGATAACTGCAAGCAGATAATAAATAGAACAAGAAATTGGATGATTATAAGCTAAAGTCTTACTTGGGAACATTTATTTGAAAGGAGACTGGTTGATTTTTGTTATTTTTAGTGGCATTTTGGTTGCTCATTAGTTGAGAGGTTATGCAGTATTCCTTCCACTCCCACCCCTAAGCGACTAGTAACAGGAATGAATTTCCCTTATGAGAAGGAGTGGGGCTTGGGCATTCTGTTTTACCTAACAGTGTATAGAATCTTTTCTTTCAAATGGAAAAGAAATAATGAAGTTCATTTTCCTCTGTGATTTTTAAAAAGTTTTTGGGGGGTGTCTCTGTGTTGACTGTGTAAATATTATGTGTTTGTTTTTGCAAGTAATCATCATTTAATATAAATGTAAAATTACTTGGTTATCAACCTAAAGTCTTTACAAATCCGGTGTATATTTGTTAAGGCAATTTGCAACAATGGTTGCATTTTCCTTTCTCAGGTCTTCCCAACACCTTTGGTGACTATGATGAGACACCCTCTATGATGGCCAATCACCTAAAGGTCAGGGATCCTCTTTCACTTGGCTTTTTAAGAGAGACAGAGAGACTGAATTTTAGATTTAGAGTTTTTAGAAGGAGAATTTTCCCCTGAAGAAATCCCAATGTACATATAACAAAGAAAGGTTTACCCCAAATTAAGGTAGTAGAGGCACAGGGAAGAGCTGTCAGCATCCTTATCCTCAGCTGGCACTGGTGGCTGTTGGAAAATTCCCATTGAGGTTCACTCTAAACTAATTGACACTCGGCTCTTCTCTGAGACATTGCTTCCCCTGCAACCTTCCCAAATTGTGACTTTCTGCTCTCACACTCCTCAGACTGCTGGGTGGAGTATATGCCCCGCCCATTGTCACCTCCATCACTCTCCCTGTTCGTCATGCACCTGCCATTGTTTACTCCTTGGTCATGAGACCATACTATCCACTGCCACTTCTTATTGCACTTACCTACTGATCCCTGGGTTTCTTTCCCCTTGTTCCTTGAATTTTTAGCTTCTGTTTCACTGACATTCTCTCCTAAACTATTTCTGTCTTATTTATGATTTCATTATCTTTATAGACCATCTTTCCAATACACTTGCTCCACTCCTTGACATTGTCTGTTAGTTACAGTGTCCTTTATTCAGTAGCCTATAATTAAACTCTAGACTCATGCTGTCCCCTATGTAGCCACTCCTATATGTTTTTTTGAGCCCTTGAATGTGTGTGACAGAGGAACTGAATTGTTATTTAAACATTTTTAAATTAATGTAAATTTAAAAACCGATACTCTATTTTGTGTTATTTGAAAATACATTATCCAGCTCACATTCATTCAGCTCAGCATAAGGGTAAAAAAAAAAAATCATTAGATAGGCAAATCTCCCACTGAATTTTATCTTTTGTTTTATGTTTTTGAGACAAGGTCTTGCTTTGTTGCTCAGGCTGAAGTTCAGCGGTATGATGATAGCTCAGTCTATCTTCGAACTGCTGGGCTCAAGCAATCCTCCCACCTAGCCTCCTGAGTAGCTGGTACTATAGAAACATGCCACTATATCCAGCTAATTAAAAATTTTTTTGTAGAGATGGGGTCTTGTTATGTTTCCCAGGCTGGTCTCAAACTCCTGGCCTCAAGTGATTCTCCTGGCTTGGCCTCCCAAAGTGCTGAGATTACAGGTTTGAGCCTCCATACCCATCCTCTCACTGCATTTTAAATAGTATAAAGGATTTCACAGCATTTGAACTACTCTTTGCTTTAATCCTATGTTTAGGGTATGTGACATCTTTATGTCTAGAGTTAAGCATGTTTAACTTTGTTTTTAGTGTAGCCTTAGATATTCAGGAAGTATAGATGGCTTTTATATTGAATTGGTGGTAATGAGTTTAGAATTCAGATGAACTTCCTCAAATTTTGTCTTTTCCTAAATGCAGGATTTTGCTATGGATGGCTTGGTCAATATAGTTGGAGGATGCTGTGGTTCAACACCAGATCATATCAGGTAATAATCGCCAATAGACAATATATCTAAAAGCAAATGGATGATCAGGTAATAATCTAAAGATGTACCTTTTGTTATGGACTGAATTATGTCCTTCCAAAATTTGTATATTGAACTTCTAACCTCTACTATTTCAGAATGCGGCTGTATTTGGAGATAAGGCCTTTAAAGAGGTGACTAGGGTAAATTGAGGCCATGCAGGTGTACCTAATCCAATATGGTTAGTGTCCTTTTAAGAACAGGACACAAATGTGCACACAGAGGCAAGACCATTTAAAGACAAAGGGAAGAAATAGCTATCTGCAAGCCAAGGGAGAGGCCTTAAAAGACAGTAACTAACCCTGCTGACACCTTCAACTCAGACTGTGAGCAAATAAACTTCTGTTATTTAAGCTGCCATAACACAATCTTGGGCACTTTGTTATGGCAGCCCTTCCTAATAAGTTCATACACCTTTATATTACAAAAAATTGTAGAGAAATAATAGAATGGACTTCTATATGCCTATCACATAGTTGCCATACTTTTTAGTGTTTTTCGGTTCTTATTTCATCTGTCCCTCAACTTTTCCCACTGGATTTTGTAAAGCAAATCCTAGATATTATGATATTCTGTCCTTAAATACCTGAGTAATATTTGAATGCTCAAAGAGGACAGCTCATATTTATCGTGGGCAAATACAGGCCTCCTTTAGATTCCCTCATGGAAGGAAAAGACAATAAGACAACGGGTGTCTTGAGGTCAGGAGAGGGGTCTTCACTTTGCGTGGTACACAGTGGTTGCTTAATTCGTGTTTTCAAGTGAGCGTATGAAGGAAGGGAGTGAAACGAGCATGACCATGTGTTTAATTCCTTAGAGTTTTATAGCTTATAGGAAGATTGGAATTCAATGAAATGGAACATTGTTTAGGACTGTTGATATTTGTTTTTTCCCTGGAGTGACTGATGATCATATTTCAGGCCAGTCATCTGAATGTTCCAAGTCTGTTTTTTGGTTTTGTTTTGTTTTGTTTTTGAGATGAAGTCTGAGTCTGTTGCCAGGCCAGAATGCTGGAGTGCAGTAGTGGGATCTCGGCTCACTGCAACCTCCACCTCCCAGGTTCAAGCGATTCTCTTGCCTCAGCCTCCCGAGTAGCTGGGACTACAGGGGTGCACCACCACGCACAGCTAATTTTTGTATTTTTAATAGGGACAGGATTTCACCGTGTTGGCCAGGATCGTCTCAATCTCTTGCCTCATGATTGGCCTGCCTCGGCCTCCCAAAGTCCACGCCTGGCCTCCAAGTTTGTTTTCATGTGTATAATGTGTTCACTTTACTGAGTTACCCTATAACTCACTGCTTTTGTTGACTGATGTGATAGACTCTTAATAGTTTTTAAAATATCTTATAAGTAATATCTGAAAGCTATCGGTAGTTAAATGTCACTTATCTTTGGATCAGCAACTATCTCTTTTTGTTTTTGTTTTCTCTTTAAAAAGAGGAGTTGTTTTAAATGTCTCTGTGTATGTTTGTGTGTGTCTATATATCTGTCTGTATATGTATTTGCTGCTTTTTTTTTTTTTTTTTGAGACGGAGTTTCGCTCTTGTTACCCAGGCTGGAGTGCAATGGCGCAATCTCGGCTCACCGCAACCTCCGCCTCCTGGGTTCAGGCAATTCTCCTGCCTCAGCCTCCTGAGTAGCTGGGATTACAGGCACGCGCCACCATGCCCAGCTAATTTTTTGTATTTTTAGTAGAGACGGGGTTTCACCATGTTGACCAGGTTGGTCTCGATCTCTCGACCTCGTGATCCACCCGCCTCGGCCTCCCAAAGTGCTGGGATTACAGGCTTGAGCCACCGCGCCCGGCCATGTATTTGCTTCTTTTACTTAGATGTTCACATTCTAATCTGGGGACGGTAAAGTAGAGCAATTATTACTGGTCCTGATAAATTTAGTGGAGTAGCCAGATTTTTCTGGTTGATCAAAGACATGATTCATTAAAACTGATAAGGTTAAAGAGAGTGTGAATGACTAAAACAAATCTTTAAGAGTAATTATTTCGGAGTTTTAGTGCTTTATGGCTATGTACCCGCCCCGCAACCGTGTGTGTGCTGTAGTAAAAACAGATCCGCTAGACCCAAATCCCTCCATTCCTAACCCCTCTGCTCCTGCCTGCTCCTTCTTGTCAAAGGTGAAGCCTTTTTCTGTTCAGATTTTGAGGAGGAATATGTGTATGTGGATTTGACAGAGTAAAAGACGTCTGTGGATTTGGGGAAGATGGGAGGAATTTTGCTGTTTGCATTCGTGAAACTGTCATGTAGCTCCAGGTTCACTTCTCAGAAAGTAAAAACAACCCAGCCAGTGCATAGGGGACAGGCAGGCACATAAAAGTTACAGTTTATATGCACCTCCATACTAGATTGTAAGAAAAAAAAAAGTTACAGTTTATAGATCGATTTTCTGCATTGCTGAGAAAACTAAAAGGTATAATTGTTGCCGCACATTTGGAAGTAGGTATATAATTATATGCATAATTATATTAAATAGACATTGTTTCATCATTCCAATTAGTTTTGAAATTAGCTTCATTAAATAATTTTATTCTGGAGTAATGGATATAGTGTTTTCTTTTTCAACTCAGGGAAATTGCTGAAGCTGTGAAAAATTGCAAGCCTAGAGTTCCACCTGACACTGTTTTTGAAGGACATATGTTACTATCTGGTAAGTCATAAAGACATGGTGTTCATGATTTCAGAAAGCATTCGTAGAATGTGATTATTCTAAGTGGTAGTGATACTTGTGCCAGGCAGCTTGCTTACTGTGTCAGAGAAGAGTACACGCATTCTTGGCAGTTAAATGAATTCTAGTGAAGAACTTGTTGGTTTTCCAGGGCTGGGGCAAAATGATGTCCACTCTGGGGTAGAAATGAAGGAAGGCCTAGGTGATTGGCCCAGGTAGAGTCCCTGGTGGGAGCTCAGTGGTCCTGTCTTTATTGTGCACTGTTTTAAAAACATACTCTCAGCCACAGCCTAACAATTTTAATTTTCAGGTTGATACTAGTTATTGAAAATTCCAAACTGCCAAGGCGTAGTGTTTGGTAATGGCAGCAGCATCTTCCTAGAAAATTGTATGTTTCTAAAATGTTGTAATCTTACATTTGCCCCATGTTTAGGACTTTACAAAGACTTGCGATATTTCTTTTCTCTTTGGTTCCCAACAATCCTTTGAGGTAGTTAGCCCCCCTTTTTCAACATGAATTTTGTGTTCAAACAAGGAATATTAGTAAACTAGGTCATCAGGCCACTTGTTAGAAAAATAACTTTAAATTTTTTATTTTTGCTACATTACGTTCATGGTGTATTAAATGGTAACTTTCAGCAGAAAAGGTATGATTTTTAGAGAACTTGCAAATAACACATATGAGGAATTATGGTTTTTAATAGCTTAGAATTTAATATCTCTCTGAATTGAAATATGTTTGTTTCATACATTGTCCTATGAAAAGTAAAATAAATAACAGCAGAAGTAGTGTCTACTTTTCTCATTCAGAGCGTATTACAGAATTAATACCAATCAGTGAGTGTGAAGTTGCGTTAATAAAGGTAACAACTGTGTTCAGGCTAGCTTTTTTTTTTTTTTTTTTTTTAAATATATATATATATTTTTTAAATATTCCAGAAGGTAGAGGATGAGATTGGGAAAAGTAGGATTCATGGTTTATGATACCCCCCCACTCCGGAAAAAGTGGCTTTTGTCAGAGAGAGGTGTGGCAGGAAAATTTATTTATTTCACCCCTAGAACTTAAAGTAATGTTAGTGCATTACTCCAACCAAGCACTAACAGTGGAAAACATTCAGCCTTTGCTAAAATTGAAACAAGAGAGCCATTTATATAAGATCTTAAAAAATAATTTATAAGAATAAAAGAATTCTTTTTCTCCAATTCGAATGTCATACACTATTGGTAAATTGTTTTAAACAGTCACCTTCCATCAGATTTTAAAAGAGTGACATCAAATGCACTGTTTAAAATCGTTCTTTTATAAATCACAAACTTGATAGAAGTGTGATCTTTGTATCAAGTACTTTGCATTCATAATAGATCTTAAGCACCTTGTGTGAGATGCTTTTGGTAGGGGAGTCACACAAAAACGTCAGCATTGAAGTGCTGGCTTCCCACCTGCCCGTCCTGGGAACCCCAAGGTCAGACGAGGATCAGGCTTACCCTGAGGCTAGCCTGGAAGGCTGGGGGCGTGAGGATCTTTGCCAAATGGAAGGAAAATCATTAAGCCAATACTATGGAAAGCAATAGTCTCTTCTGGGGATTCAAACTGCCTGGAGTGGTTTTATAAAGGACCCAGTTTATATTCATTATTTTTCTATGCCTCCTATCTGTTTCTTCCTTAGTCAGTGCTTTGGCAGAGGTCTTAAGAGCCATTTTCTTTGATTAACAATGACAGCAGTGATTGTGAGTGCTAATTTTGTGCTTATCAATGTTACTCAGTTTCATTTTTACAATAACAAACTATAAAGTAGAAACTTTCCTGTCTCTATAAGCTCAGAGGCGTATGGGAAGCTGTCCCAAGGTTGTTCATTGAGGTCAGTGATTTGAACCCAAGGCTGTCTGTCCCCAGAACCTGCCTGTAACCACTTCATGAGACTGCCCCTCCTCATACTTTAAATGTAATGAATACAACAAAAGCAGTTCAGAGCCTTTTCTATAGTGATACTTCACACTTCATGTTTTTACCTCAGTGTAATATCCACGTGTCTTACCTGATATTTGCCCCTAAATTGGCCAGTGACGGGAGATGATATGACGTTGGTAGATGGGGGACAGGCACCAGAAGTCCACTTGGCGTACCTAGAGTCGGCTCATTAGTGATAGACCTGCCACAGTGACTCCTGCCTCTCAGGTCTCAACCTGGGGCCCTGATTCAGCCTTGTTGATTATGGGTTCTAAGGCTCTGGATCAAAGAAATGAAGTTTCACTGTAAACATACTGTGGGTGGGATTTAAAAAGCTTCCTTCCTCTAGCGTCACACTGATATCTGAGCAGACAGCTGTGGAACACCCATCTTTCAATTCTAACTTTCTCCGTGGCTTTTGCCCAACCTCTTGGTTAAATAGGGGTTGATCATTATTTTTCCTTCTTTCTTAAAGATGATACAACTTGGCCCTTTCAGGTATTTGCAACATCAAACTCTGAAATATTTTTTCTTTTGAGAGTTCTGGTTGTAAATGTAGCTGTAACAAATAGCCTTTGCTGCATTCGAATCTCTGCAGAGATGACTGTGGTCCTGTTTCCACGCTGAATCTCCTGTCTGCTCAGAGCGGCTGTGGTGCAGGAACTTCTTTCTTATTGAATACGTTTATGTCTGTATGTCTTATGTCATCCATATGCCTTTGCAGAAATTTTTCAAAATGCTTCTCCTTTTAAGGTCTAGAGCCCTTCAGGATTGGACAGTACACCAACTTTGTTAACATCGGAGAGCGCTGTAATGTTGCAGGATCAAGGAAGTTTGCTAAACTCATCATGGCAGGAAACTATGAAGTGAGCATCTTAATAGGACCCCTGAGACATCTGCCATCTCTTTGGCTAGACAGCATGTAAAATGAAACAGCTCTCTGCCTTTGATAGTGTTATTAGCAGAGCTGCTAGGAAGTGTGAGAAGATGGTAATGTGCGTTTGCAGCAGGCTGGGCTGGTGGGAGGACAAGGCTTTGAAAAACTGAAACTGCTATTGTCAATATTTGTCAAAAAGTACTGCATTTGGTGTATGAAGTAGGATGAGATGGGAGGGATCCAGGTTTTAGCTATTTCTATTAATCATGAAATAAGTTAAAAAATTTGAGAAGGCCCTTTATTTTGTCTTCTCATACATCCTTCTAGGGAAAGAGAAAGACAAGAGAATTCCTATCAGTTTCTTACGACCGCATCAAATGCTGGCCGTTGAGGGTATTGATTTTGTCAGCTATAGACTAAAATAAACAAACGAAAGAAATAGGTACTTGCCTTGGAAAGTTTACGTGATAGTTTTAGCCATGGTGTTTTTAAGCTCAGTCACTCTGTGGATGAGCAAAATTCAATCCATACAGAGCATACCCAAGACTCCTGGATAGATTTTCTTATGAAAATATGAATGCAAAAATGGAGGAATTTGGTCTGGCTTTAATGATAATTAACTTTATCATCTGACTTTTCTAACTTTAAGGTTTTGCGACCTTTAGGAGATCTTCCAGAAACCAATACCAGAGCTGATTGAGTTTTCTTAACAAGGAAATAACCCATTTATCCCCCTTCATGGATCTGTTCATCATTACCCGATGGCATCGCCAGAAGTGTGTCTTCCTTCTCAGTCCCTCAGCTGGCACATGACCAGGGCCTGGTTGCCCGGTTCCGCCACTCCCCCTGGCAGTCCTCTTCTCCTCATTCTTGCTGCTCTCCAGTGCTCCTGAATGCATCCATCATGGGCCTCCCCAGTTCGGAAGTCCCCCAGGGTGACTTTTTTGGATATGGGATGAAACTGAGATTCCTTAGTCAATCATTCTGTCGTCTTCACTTAGGTCTTAAACTGCCCTCCCATCCTGATCTGTCATCTGAACATTCCGAGAGGCTCGCTTCTGACTGTGCCTTTGTTTATGTTTGCTTCCTTCTGAATTGCCAGTGACTCTTCCTAGCCATACAGTGTTCTTTGGTTGCCCATGTTTCTATTATGTTTTGATTCTTACGCCTATTCTGTGGTGTTCCTTTCAGCTCTTGGATTTGACACTGAGAGCATTTTAGGAAGAAGCAAACAGGTGGAAGTAATAATATCTGTCATTTAATAGGATCTTTCTGTGTGCCAGTCACTGTACTACGCACTTCATGTCATGACTTATTTAATCGTCACAGCCTGATAGAGATAGGTACTGTTGTTCTCCCCATTTTACAGATGTAGAAATGGATGCTTGGGGAGGTTAAAGGACTTGCGTATTGTTTTACAGCAAGTAAATGATAGAACCCAAGTCTACCAAGCATATGCCCTTAATGGCTCTGCTATCTCTGCCTAGTGGAAACAGTAGGAGGGAGCAGTAGAAACAGGTGGGAACAGGTGACTCTTCATTAGAGGCTAGCTTTTATGACTTATTGATCCCTTTGTGGTTTAGTAGAAAGAACATTGACCTGAAAGAAGTTCCAGTCCTGTTTTCTTGCCTAACTCATACATCTTTAAACAAACCACTTCATCTCTCTGAGCTTGTTTGTGAAGGTTAGACCTTGAAGCTGTCATTCCATGATTCATAAGAAATAGGCCAGATATTGGCATTTTCATTTTCCAGGTCTTTTGACCTCTGTTGCCTACTGTCTTTTTTTTTTTTTTTCTTTTGAGACAGAGTTTTGCTCTTGTTACCCAGGCTGGAGTGCAATGGCGCGATCTCGGCTCACCACAACCTCCGCCTCCTGGGTTCAGGCAATTCTCCTGCCTCAGCCTCCTGACTAGCTGGAATTACAGGCACGCACCACCATGCCCTGCTGATTTTTTTGTATTTTTAGTAGAGACGGGGTTTCACCATGTTGACCAGGATGGTCTCGATCTCTTGACCTCGTGATCCACCTGCCTCGGCCTCCCAAAGTGCTGGGATTACAGGCTTGAGCCACCGCGCCCGGCCTGTTGCCTACTATCTTCTCTCCTGTCTGTTTTTTCCGATCCATCCCTCATTAGCCAGCTGAAGATGCTCCCTCTCAGTTAGCTTTCTCCATTTTGGTTCATAGAGACCTTTTCCTTTCCTACATGTTGAGATCATCTTTGCATTTGACCCACACATTGTATGGCAGTGCCTGGTAGTTTTTTATGTCACTGTGACATGTACCCCCAACTAGATATAAATTCTTTAAGAACCAGGATTGTGATTTGCACTTATTTTTATTCTTTATATTATTTAAAGTAGTACTGATACTAGAAAACATTTTTTGATTTACTGAATTTATTTATTTATTTAGAGACAGTGTCTCACTGTCTCACCCAGGCTGGAGTGCAGTGGCACGATCTTGGCTCCTGCAGCCTCCACCTCCAGGTTCAAGTGATTCTCCTGTCCCAGCCTCCAGAGTAGCTGGGACTTACAGGCACGTGTCCCTGCGCCTGACTAATTTTTGTGTTTTTAGTAGCGACAGGGTTTTGCTATATTGGCCAGGCTGGTCTCAAACTCCTGACTTCAAGTGATCTGCCTGTCTCAGCCTCCCAAAGTGCTGGGATTATAGGCATGAGCCACTGTGTCTGGCCCAGATTTACTGAATTTAATTGTGATCCTTTTTCTCTGTGCTGCCTTGGCTCACTAACATATGGTGTTTCCTTATGGCATATGCCATAGGGTTTCATGCCTGTCCTATCACAATGAGTGCTAAAAGTTTCTATTTTATTTTCTTGGGAAAAAAAAAATCAAGACATCAGCACCTACTATTGATTTTATCCTTGCTTATTTTATTGCACTGTGAAGTGTACAGTGAAGACTTAAACAAACAAAAAGTCTCGCCATGTTAGTTAGAAAGTATTATGGAACATGTATATTTTGCCCAGCATTCAGAGTGGGAGGTACATAAGACTTTTTGGAACACTTATCCTACAGAATATTCCTTAGATGGTCATAAGTGGGAAATGCTGAATTCTCTTTTGGGAAGGTTGCAGTGTGTAATAGTGCATTAAAGAATTTGAAAAGCTTTCCAGTATTATAAAAACCTGCTGAAATTTATTTAACTCACATTTCTTTTCATGTAACTCCTATTGCCTGGAATGAATCATTTCGGCAGATACTGAAGCGTTGTATAGTTTTTGGCAAATATTGAAGAGTTATGTCGTTTGGATGGTTTCTCTAAGGACTTTTTTTGGAGGAGATGGGGCTGGGTCTTAAACAATGTGGAAGGGAAAGGGATTGTGTTCCAAGCAGAGGGGACAACATGATGTGCAGCTCAGAGGTGGGAACAGACTTGGCTGGGTGAAGGCTCCAGTGGGGGTAGAGTGGGAAGTTTGATTTGGTAAGACGATGGGGCCAGCTCAGAGGGCCTTGACTGCCAGGCTAAGGAATTTAGAATCTTTATGGTAGGAAAACAGCCTTGGTGGTTTCTGAGCAGTGAGATGATGTGATGATGGAAGAGAGATGTGTAAGAAAGGTTAATTTGTGATGAGTGATGGGAGGTCAGCAGGCCCAGAGTCAGGGAGCCTGGCTAGGTGAGTCTGTATAATTTGAAAGGATTGCTGGGATGGGTAAGGAATTGGCTTGTTAGCCTTTTTTTCAAATTATTGTTTGCTAATGCTGCTTCCTCTCTTTCTTCCTTCAGGAAGCCTTGTGTGTTGCCAAAGTGCAGGTAGAAATGGGAGCCCAGGTGCTGGATATCAACATGGATGATGGCATGCTAGATGGTCCAAGTGCAATGACCCGATTTTGCAACTTAATTGCTTCCGAGCCAGACATTGCAAAGGTTATCACAAAGTTTATATTTGTCAGGGAAATTTACTTATCTCGCTTTGTCACTCATTTAACTCTGCCAGTTGTCCCATCAGTCTGTGAATTTAAGAACTGGTTTTCTGTTTCTTAACATTGAAAGCACAGTGGTTTCTGATTGTCAGCTTGCTCAGATAATGATAACCTTTCCATGTAAAGCAGATCTTGGAGATAGCTGTGGCTTTAGTGTGGCTGTTTTCAGGCCTTCTGGGGTTGTTCATGAGAACTGAGTCTCCTCAGATGTCTGGACAGACTAACAATCCACTTTCCGTATCTGTGAAGGATATACTTACCCATTTCTGCCAAATTCCTACCATAGGCAAGGGAACTCAGTCAATTCTTTCTTAGAACAGGAAGGAGAAAACTTTTAGGTTTATCAGATCAAGACAAAAATATAACACAAGATTAAATCAGGATATGATGTCAGCTTTTACATTTGTTCTTTAAAAGATGAAAGTTGATTTTTATGTCAGTCTTTTAAACATTTTTAAATGGGTCTTAAAATTTTTAAAAATCTTATGTCGTTTTTCTGCCATTAAGTTTGTCATTAGGAGTGATCCCCCCCGCCCCCAAGACAGGGTTTTGCTCTGTGGCCCAAGTTGGAGTGCAGTGATGCAGTCATAGCTTGTTGCAGCCTCAGACTCCTCCCTCTTTAGCCTCCTGAGTAGCTGGGGCCACAGGCATGCATCATTTAAAAAAATTTTTTAGTGGGAAGGGCGGGTCTTGCTGTGTTGCCCAGGCTGGTCTTGAACTCCTAGGCTCAAGCAATCCTCCTACCTTAGCCTCCCAAAGTGCTATGATTACAGTTGTGAGCCACTGTGCCTGGCAAGAAGTGATTTTTGAAGTTCTTTTTTAAAGAAACCTCCTAGTTCTTTAAGAGTTGCGTTTTTCAGGTTGAGCTGTTGGTTTTTTATTAGGCTTCAGCAGGTTTAAGATAGAAGTCTATGTTAGGTACTGAATTACGTTTACCCATCTTTCATTTGTGTTTTAAAACTTTCTACTAAAAAGTCTCATCATTCTTCTGGGAATAAATATTTTGAGAATTTAAGGCACAAAGAAGCAAAATAACTTGTTCACAGTTAGTTAGAATCAGAGGTATAGCCAGTTGTTTATCAGCTTAGTAGTGGGAAGAGGGGTAGACTTGCCGTGTAAGGCCCAATCAAGTCAATGGACAATTGACCCTATTTTCTTTCTTCATCTCTAAAACGGTATCATCAAGCCTCCTTTGTGAATTGTAAAGAGGCAAGTACTTTATCAACTGGGAAAGACGCCAATTATTATTGTTCTGATTGCTACAATAACTTACCTTTTTTGGTTTTGCCTTACTACTACAATTTATTGAAGGCCAAACTTTGACCCATGGGGTAAATCATAAAATCATTTTACCAACACCTTTTCACCAGTAGGGTGGGAACACCAAACTATCAGCAAGCAAATGCAAGCTGATACCCTGGCCTGGTGTTGTCATTGCATTTAACCCTTTTCCTGGTAAGCCTCTCATTACTAGCAGGCTAAGAAAAAGCAAAATTGATAGAGTGCCTGTTCTTTTTTGCTCTTGTTTGGTGGTATGGCTTAGGAAATTGCTGACTATTCATTCTTCAGTCCTCAGTTGAAATGCTTCCTGCCCTGGGAAGCTTTCCCTGAATTTTCCCACCCCATTCTCCTTGCTTCATAGACTGGGTTTGGTGCCCCTGAAATATGCTTCCGTGGCAGTCTGTGCTTCTCTTATGCTTTTAGCATTTACTGCACTTTATGTCATTACTTGTTTAATTATTTGTTTTTATGAGCTCAGTGGAGCTAGGGACCTGTCTTTCTTACCATTTTCCCTGTATGGGCCTAATATGGTAGTCACTTATTTATCTAATGGCTTAATTAAATAATGTGGCTTATGCTGGGAGCTGTGGCATGTGCCTGTAGTTTCAGCTGCTCAGGAGGTTGGGTACAGAGGATCACTGGAACTCAGGAGTTCAAGACCAGCCAGGGCAACATAAGATGACCCTGTCTCTAAAAATATAAAAATAATGCAACCTAGATTAGTTGCCTTATTTCATTTCTTTGTATCAATCTCATTCTTCAAGCCCTTCCTTTCACCTTTCCTGGAACAGAGGTATGAATTGAATGTATTCCCAACTGTGCATTTCAGTTTTGTCCTTTATTTTAGTTATATGCATTTGTTGATTATTAGATCTACTTTTTCTTTCTAATATTAAAACTCTTTTTTTTTTTCAGTACAGAGCTTGATTTTCTAAAGGGAAGGTTGAATTTGAATAACTTGGCTAGAGGGCTACTCCCAAAGGACATGAGGCTAAACATTAATCCCTGAGTCAGATCAGGGATATCTAAATCCTATTTGAGGTGTTTGCCTCAGGGCTTATGCACTTGAAAGTGTACTGTACTGAAGCCAGTGAACTGATCACACTGATTTTATTCTGATGTTCAACTGTGATCCTTAAGGTATAAATCCCTGGCTGATGCATGGCGTACCTTTGTAAGACTGAAAGTACTCCAAGTATCTTGGGCTTAAAGAACAAGTATATTGAAATTCTATCTCTACGTACTACTATCATTTGTTTATTGTTTTTCTAAAGAAGAAATAGACGATACTTTGGAGGCTTTGAAAAGTACTTTATAGTGACTTGTGGCGTCTCTGTGATTTTCTTGCCCTTTGAGCTCAGGTACCCTTGTGCATCGACTCTTCCAATTTTGCTGTGATTGAAGCTGGGTTAAAGTGCTGCCAAGGGAAGTGCATTGTCAACAGTATTAGTCTGAAGGAAGGAGAGGAGGACTTCCTGGAAAAGGCCAGGAAGATTAAAAAGTTTGGAGCTGCTGTAGTGGTCATGGCTTTTGATGAAGAAGGACAGGTGAGTGATTTCTTTTGGCCTAATCCATTGCGTTACCTAGATTAGATAGCAGTGGGAGAAAATGTGAGTCTGAAACAGCTACATATATACATACGTGTGTACATATATATCTATTTCTATATACGTTCATATACATATGTGTACACGTAGCTGTATACACCATACATCATGTGTTACTTAACACTGGAGATACGGTCTGAGAAATACATCGTTAGGTGATTTTGTCATTGTGCCAACGTCACAGAATGTATTTACACCAACCTAGGTGGGGTAATCCACTACACACATAGGCTGGATGGCGTAGTGTATTGTTTCTGTGTTATAAACTGGCATAGCATGTTACTGTACTCCGTATTTGTGTATCTAAACATATGGAAACAGAAAACTTACAGTAAAAATAAGGTATTATAACCTTACCGAACCATTGCTGTGTATGTGATCCATCATTGACTTAAGTTTCCTTATGTGGTCAATGACTGTGTATGAAAATCCGATATAACGTCTTTGCGTTCATGGAGAAAGGTTGAATTATTCAGTAAATGCTATTGGGATGGCTGGGTATGCATTTGGAAAAAATAAAGGTTAGATTCCCATTTCCAACCATATGCTAAAATACAGTTAGCTGTTTGCAACATGAATAATAGCAGTGGGTGACTATTCCTAATATGCAAAGAGTTTATATGAGTCAGAAAGGAAAACACCACAGTCAACCCAGTAGGAAAATGGACAAAGGAAATGAATAAACAGTTTATATAAAAATAGATAACAAATAGCCAATAAACTTATGAGAAGATATTAAGTTTTGTAAGCATTAAAGAAATAAAAAATAATGAGATTAATTTTCTTTATCAAATAGAAGAAAAAATTAGAAGATTGATAAATGGCAGCCTTCATAATATCTCTGCCATAGAATCAGGGTGGGGCACATGGGAAACTTCAAATATAATGGTAGTTCAACTGTGTGATAACATTCATTATTGTTACGTTTTATACTTCACATAACTTTTTATGAATATTTTGGTACCTGTTTAAAACCACAAAAAAATCTATTTCTTATGCTTAAGGCCCCTCCTGGGAATCTAGTAATAAGATTTAGTATATAAGGATATGTGTTCACATTAATTGTAGCGTTGTGCTAGCACAAAGCTGAGAACACACTATTTTTAATTTTTATTATTATTATTATTATTTTTTTGAGACAGAGTTTCGCTCTTGTTGTCCAGGCTGGAGTGCAGTGGTGTGATCTTGGCTCACTGCAACTTCTGCCTCCTGGGTTCAAGTGATTCTCCTGCCTCAGCCTCCTGAGTAGTTGGGACTACAGGCGTGCGCCACCACGCCTGGCTAATTTTTGTCTTTTTAGTAGAGACAGGGTTTCACCACGTTGGTTAGGCTGGTCTCGAACTCCTGACCTCAAATGATCCACCTGCCTTGGCCTCTCAAAGTGCTGGGATTACAGGCATGAGCCATCGCGCCCGGCCTTGAGAACACTCTAAATGTCCAGTCCTAGGGGAGTGCTTAAACCTCGGTCCTTAGTGCATAGAATACTGTGCAGAAGTTGAACAGAATCAGGAAATAGAACCATGTCTTCAATATATTGAAAAATGAAAAAAATGAGTGACATGATCCCAATTTTACTTAATATAAAAGTACTTACATTTATATATTTGTGTCTGTATAAGCAGAGAAAAGAATGGTTGTCAACTGAGGGGGTAGGGATGGTCTGAGATGGGGATGGTCTCAAATAGGGACATACTGACAATTAACAAGTGGTAGGATTATACTTCCTTTTTCTTTCTTTTCTATTTTTGAAATAAAAATTTTTAAATGTATTATTTTTTTGTATGAAAGATAACATTTTCTTTCATTGCGAAAAAATTCAAATCCAGAAGAATGCAGAAGAGAGATAATTTTGATCATTAACATATATTGAACCTTAATTCACACCAAGCAAGTATACAACACACTTACCAGTTCTTCCTCCCAGTGTATAAACTGTGGGTATGTGTTCTTGTTATTTTTGGATGTCATGTGAGGACACTAAAGCACAGAGATGTTCCAGGACTTGTGGTTGCCACACAGCTAACAGTTTGCAGTGCTGGGAGTCAGGCCTAGGAGATCTGGTTTCTGTCATCAGGGCCTGTTTTAAATGGTCGAGTGAAAGGCTGTCAGGGAAAAGTTGGCCTGTTTAGAAGAGGTGGTCTCAAGACCCCTCTGAGGAGGGAATATTTGAAAACCAGAATAAAATGAGAGAGCAAGCCCCATGGCCATGTGGAGAAAGAACAAAAAAGGTTTTAGCAAATGGAAAGTTTTGTATCAAGGAGATTATACCTGCCATTCTGCAGCTCTTTTTTTCCCACTCAACATAATGTTGGCATTTTCCCATTTTAGTGAATAGGGATTAAAACTCCATCTTTTATGGTTACATTGCATCCCAGTATATTTTAATTACTATATATTATTGAATGAAATTGTGTTTCTAATTTTTTAGTAGCATGAACAGTTCAGTGACCAATGAATATCTTAATTCATGCAGCTGTTTCCCCTTGTAGAATGATTTTTCTTAGAGTCAGTTCATTGAAGTGGGATTGCTGTATCAAAGAGTGTGCACATTTACTCTTTTGAGGTACATTGTTAAAATTGTCCATCTGAAAAGTTGTATCTAGTTATCTTCCACTACATGTTTAGTGTGGTGGAACCTTTTGGTAATTCTGCAGATAGACAAATAGTTCTGTAAGGCTTCTTGTGAAAAACAAAAGTCCTCAGCCTTCTAGATCCTGAGGCAGCCACTTTCAGCTTTCTAAACTGATTCTTGTAGCATCTACCTCTTCATCTTCAAATTCCAGTTTTAGTTTTTATTTATTGACATCCTACAGTGATAAAAGATGTTTTAGCTTTTCACCATCCACTGCCCTGACTCTGTACAGCTTTACTTTTAACCTTCCCGATATAGTTCATTTGAGCTGTGATCGTTTTCAGTGGTTACATTATTAAACAGTGTAAAAGCTGAGACATGCAAGTAGTCTACTCTGATTGCTTATCCTTTCTCACTATGTTGTTTTCTACAAAGGTAACGCTTATCTTTTTCTTTGCTTCGTTTTCTATGTATTTTGCCTTCAGATTGCCCCCCAGTTGTACAAAGTCTCCAATATCCAACATAGCCACACTCATTAAGAGGACTGCCATTTTACTTTTTTGGAGAATTCTCCCTCCGGGTCTTCTGATGTGACCTGGAATGGCTGCTCAGTAGGCCAGCTGCACAGCTGTCACTGCCAGCTGTTCCTTACCTTCCGCCTGGGGTTCCATTTTCCTTTCTCTTAGGTTTTTAGAACTCATAATTTCCTCATTCTAAGTTCATCCCTTTTTTGGTCATTTGGTAGAGTGCATCCTCTGGTAGCTTCTTGTGAAAGAAAACATGGCAGTGAATATTTCTGAAACCTTGCATGTTAGAAAATGGCTATATTCTACTCTTACACTTAATTGGCAGTTGTATGGGCCTAGGAGTACAAACTTGAAGCTGTTCTGTGTTTTGAAAGTACTGCTCCATTGTCTTCTGGTTCCCGCTGGTATTGGTAAGAAGTCCAGTGCTATTCTAACTCTTGATTATTTTTGCGAAACTGGTTTTCTGTTCTCTGGAGGCTTCGAGAATCTTTTGTCTCCACAGTGTTCGGAACTCTCAAGATGATGAGCCATCCGTTATGCTGGCACTCAGTAGGCCCTTCAGTTGTGAAACTCACAGTTGCAGTGGTAGAAGTGTCCCTGAATTACTTTGTTTTCTCTTTCGGTACTTCCATGGTGAAGATGTTGGATGTGTTGGGTAGGTTGCCTAATTTTCTTTTTTTTTTTTTCAAGACGGAGTTTCGCTCTTGTTACCCAGGCTGGAGTGCAATGGCGCGATCTCGGCTCACCGCAACCTCCGCCTCCTGGGTTCAGGCAATTCTCCTGCCTCAGCCTCCTGAGTAGCTGGGATGACAGGCACGCGCCACCATGCCCAGCTAATGTTTTGTATTTTTAGTAGAGACGGGGTTTCACCATGTTAACCAGGATGGTCTCCATCTTTTGACCTCGTGATCCACCCGCCTCGGCCTCCCAAAGTGCTGGGATTACAGGCGTGAGCCACCGCGCCCGGCCCGTTGCCTGATTTTCTTACATTTCTCTCCTATTTTCCAACTCTGGTGTCTTGCTCTGCATTGGGTGAGATTTTTATATCTACATTTATCCTCTAAACCTTCTATTGAGTTTTATTTCTTCTTTTTCCAGAAGCTCTTTTTTTGTTATCTGAATGTTCCTTTTAAAAATATATGTAGCAACTTTTTACTTTTTAATGAGGCAAATATCTTCAAATATATTCTGAGCACTAAGAATGTGCCAGGCCCTATTCTAATCTCTGAGGTGATAGCAGAGAATAAAACCTAGTCCCTGTCCTTGTACAATTTATATTCTTAGGGACAAAGGGAATAAGAAATTAAAATTAAATATATATGTATATGAATAATTGGCCGGGTGCGCTGGCTTACGCCTGTCATCCCCAGCACTTTGTATGGAATACCTGAGGTCGGTAGTTCTGGACTAGTCTGGCCAACGTGGTGAAACCCCATCTCTACTACAAATACGAAAATTAGCCAGGTGTGGTGACACGTGCCTGTCATCCTCGCTACTCGGGAGGCTGAGGCATGAGAATCACTTGAACCCCGGGAACTGAGGTTGCAGTGAGGGGAGATCATGCCGTTGCACTCCGGCTTGGGTGACAGAGTGAGACTTTGTCTCAAAAAAAAAAAAAAAAAAAAAAGTAAACAAGGACGTGTGTGTGTTGAATGGTGTTGAACACGGGGAAGGGAAAGGAAGAGGACAAGGGGTGGGGAATGAACCCCCCGTGTGTGGGGGGTGAGTGTTATTTTATGTGGGAGAGTTTTGGACCCCCTGTGAGTGGGGGGTGAGTGTTATTTTATGTGGGAGAGTTTTGAACCCCCTCTGTGTGTGGGGGGGTGAGTGTTATTTTATGT